CATTGTGACTGTAATGTAAATATGTGATGGTTAGTGTAACACGCCGCTTAAAATCATCTAGATGGAAATGTTCCCTGTTTGAGTCTGCCTGTTCCCTGTTTGCTGCAGCCTTGGCTCTTCACATGTTCTCTATGAAACCTCTTATCTCTCCACATCATCTACTTCAGGGCAGATCATGCCTGTGGTTTCTTACCAGTGTAAGGTCAATAGCAAAGTCTTGCAACTGACAGTTTTCATTTAAGTCAGTGTCTTCCTTTTTTCCTCAACAAAGGATGTAGGCTCTTCCTTGGAGAGATGGAACACCTGCTGTTGCTATAGCAGCAGTCTAAAACTACCTGTTACATGGTTTAAAAGAAAGAAGTCAGTAAGATGGTGTCTGCGTGTCTGGACGAAAGCCTTCCTCTCGGCAGTTGTACTCTTCAGTTGGAGCTGCAGTTATTTTTAGTGATATTGTTATCGTGATTGCCATCCGTGATTAATGGCGAGAGGCACATTTCAGTGCACAGTTGCAGCACTTTCCGCTTGCAGTATGCTTTTGATAAATAGCGCTTTTTATGTAGTCTACTGCAGACCAAATTCATTAATTGTGTCCCTAATTGTGGGCTGAACTAATTGCAGAGACTGAGATTATGATTTCCCATTAATATGTGGTTAATTGTGCATGTGGCAGCCCTGTTATTAAGCCAGAGGCAGTGTTCTCTTTGTGCTCTATAAACGTCGTCACTGCTAGAGGCTAGATATTGCACAGACAGAAGGCAATGCCGTGATCTTGGGCCAAGGTCAACTCAGCATGCTCTCTCCCTCTTTCTCTCTCTCCCTCTCTCTCTAAGTCAGTGAAGACTCCAGATTGCATGAATTATGCAAAGGACCATTTACCTGATAGAGACTTCTAAAGTAAGCAGTGCTCACTTAGAGACGCCCCCCCCCCCCACCTTCAGGGCTGTCCACTGTACACAAATTCAGCATCCCAAACTTCACTATTCATTTTCAGTAGCAAGCATGACTCACAGCAAGAAAAGCTGAGTTGGCTTCAACTTTATGCAAATTCCACGTGGCAGCTGTGCTGCGCTAACCAATCAGGCAAAAGCAACTTTCCATTGTCCATGCACAACGAGGATGTGCCTGCATAGTTTCATCTAAACAACATGGAAGGAACGTTAATTACAGCTCTCTATTCTGAGTCTTCTATTCTATTCTTTGTATTGTATTACAAATACAAACATAAAAGAAATGCTGCACAACAGAAAATATCCAACGTTGTTGGTGTTCCTGGTGAGTCAAAAAAACTGCACGGAATTGGCATGGCAGGCTAATACATATCAGTTTTGTTGCCAACATATACTGAACTGTGCTGAGCTTTTTAAGTTTCTGATAGTAACCTACTTGAGAAGAGAATTTATTTTAAATTTATTTGAAATCCACGACGGATTGACAGGTTAATTCACATCTGGTGTTATAAACAGACAAGGCTTTCAAGCTGCAAGGCACTGGCAAAGGAAGTGGAGGGAGAATTCCATGCTGTGTTTAGCAGGCACTTAGCATATGGGTGTTTTCCCATATAGTTCTTTTTTAGGTTAAAACCTGTTTTTTTAAAGTGTAGCAAACACAGCTTTAAACAATTGTACTCACATAAATCTTAACATTTTGTTAAAACACAAAAACATTTACTTAACTGCAGGGAATATGTGTTTTGATGGTGACAGTTGTTATTGTTACACATGTGCAACATTCTTAATGTCTCACCATGTGGCCATGAGGCACAGGCATGCAGTCTCACTTCCTGCTCTAAAATGCAGGGGTGTGGCTAAAATTTGCTCCGCCTGTGGAGTAAAACTCTTTGTGTTTCGGTAGTGACGTGAAAATGTAGGACAGCATTTTTTGAATTAAGTTCTTTAATCATAATCCTTGTATACACACCGATCAGGCATAACATTATGACCACCTCCTTGTTTCTATGCTCATTGTCCATTTTATCAGCTCCACTTTTCTCAGCCTCCATTAAAGCATTCAAAGTAATAAAGTTACTATTGTTTATGTTCTGCTCCATGATAGACTTGAGTATGAATCCCAGATATACTGCTTGTGCTTATGTTGTTTCTGATAAACTGTATACCATCTGTTGTTATTGTGGTTATAGCTTATGGTTCTTCATTTCTCCTGAGTGCATTAACAAAAAAAAAATATCATAACAGAATCCTTAGCCGTTGCAGTTCATAAATCCTTATGAAACTCAGTTTGCAGTGCTTTCTTGGTGTGCACAGCGTTACAGCCAAATGGTAAATGAAGGAGGTTTAATGGCCAGAAGGGTCAGCGTGTTGTTTTTCTTGTTATCTCTGAAGAACCAGACAACAGTCTGCTTAATTTGGAGCATCAGTCATGTGTATTGTGATCCATATGCCAGTGCAGAATGTGTTGCCATCCCAGCAGCATCCCCTCTTCCAGCTGAGTGCACTCACATGGGCCTGGTCGTGTCAGGCTGGGCACACACACTGCTGTCGGCTCTAAACTCACATTAGAATGATATTATACTTTCAGTTTGGGATTTCTCTGATGAAATTAGCAGGGCTTATAGTTTTGAGTCATAGCAGTAATAATAGCAAAATAGCAATAATGTCATGCTGTCCATTAGTAATCGACTGTGCTGGCAATCCTGTTTCAGTATTTCCATCATTTGTTTTCAGTGTCCGTACTCTTGTTTATTGTTCCATCGATGTGGAAAACATCCTGTACTGTAATGTAACTAAAGAGACTCATTGCCTTAGAAACTGTCAGACTCCAGTGCTGGTAGTCCACAGCTCTGTAAAGTATAAATGGGTAATAAACCATTTTCTTTTTTGAGATTCTGGATAATTCAATTGTTGAGATGTAAACAGAGTTATTTCGAGCGGCTTGATTGTACAGAAACCAGGGGTTACAATGTCTACAACACAAATATAGCCATTTTATTTGCTATCCAAAACAACAAGTGAACCTAAATGTGTCTTGTGAGTTTGTATATGTGATGCTGATGATGGTAAAATAGTGGTGACTCTGAAAAAATGTTTTCATTGCGCACTATTTTGCCTTACAACGGCATGCATGTACCCATCCACCATGAATAGATTAAAAAAATATGTTTTAGGTCTTCTAAATCTTCTATGAAAACTATTGTAAAGCAATGCCTCAGTCATCAGGCAGAGTATTCATAACCATTTCATGTGTTAAGTTTCTGTGAGGGTGATTTTGGAGACATTCAACTCTGCAGACGTCTGGTTCCTATCACCACCACAGGGAACAATTCTGACTCAGTAGGTTTCCCTAAAACAGAGCATTTCACATCAAACCACTCTAATTGACTTGGTGTACTTTGTTCGCTGATGAACAACTGGTTAATGATGGTTGGTATTGTGTAGTGGGTAACACCTCTGCCTTCTATGCTTTAGAGTGGGGTTCAATTCCCCGCCTGGGGAAGCACCGTACACTATACCAATAAGAGTCCTTGTGCAAGTCTCCTAACACTACCTTTGCCTACCTGTGTAAACTGATCAAATGGTAAGTTGGTCTGGATAAGAGCGTCTGCCAAGTGCCATAAATGTAAATGAACACATTATGAAATGACAAAATTCTCCTTTAACCTTTTGTCTAATGAAACACAACTGATTCAACTCATAATTGGCAAGGCATTTGAGTTTTGATGAGTGCTTTGCTCTGTTTGAGCTGGATTAGTTTTAGCAGTGGAGGTTGTTTGTAATGGATTTGATTGGCCAATTCATACACTATAAGGTCTCTGTGTCATTTCACCAAATTTCCACACATAGTCCCAATTAAAATGTGTTAAAAAATATAAAATTAATATTTCTTAAAATAAACATTCAAAAAAAAAAACTTCTATTAAATAATAGAAAAACTTTAAACTAGTTAAGTGTCAACATTCCAAATCCTGGCTAACGGGACAGACTTTTCATTGCCTATAGAGAGGTACATTTAATTTTCCTTCTCCTTCTAAATAGGCCATCACCAAAATTTTGTGAATTACAGTAGTCCGATTTTGAACTTGAGGATAAACTGTTCCAAGTAGACGTTTAGTCAAAATCTTAGCAGTTACCCTTACAGGAACGTCCAATATATTTCACATGTAAAGTGTGCAAAAACCACATATTTATTCACATGTGAAATTCATGTGGCTTTTCTGTAAGGGTAATCTTGTGTTCCGGTCACCCAAAAAATATGTTTTTTTACTTGTTTCTACATTATTAGAGATCAATTCAGACAGGACTTCTGTTATAAAGTGAGCTCTGTGAATTATAGAAGGTTCCGGAATTGCTTATTATTAAAATCACAGATCTCATCATAATCACTCAAAAGGTAAAATCCAACTAGAATATGACTTCAGATGAGAACCTGCCAGGAACTTTGACAGAAATTTGAGACCCCCACTTTTCCAGCTCAGACTGTGACCTTTGACTGTTATTGAATATGGTCTGAACATGATATTAAATTACATTTTAAAGTAACGGCTCATATCGTATGTGCATATAACAGATTGGAAATGATCTGTATGAAAGCTTTGTAGTACATGCAAGATGTTCATGCTGTATTTATTGTGAAAAAGCTCAGGTGCTATCTGCAAAAACTTTTCTAGACTTTGATCTTTGGCCTAATCATCAGAAACTTTTATTTTAGCACTTATTTTTAGCTCGTACAGCTGTAAGAAAAAAGCCTAGATGGCATCAAAACTAAAGCCTGGCGAGTACAGTCTTGATTTTGGGTCAGGATGATGCAACTAAAGGCACAACTACAGTTTGGGTTACATCATGATGTTCAAGATTCCTCACAGCAGTTTTGTACAATGTTAAACATCCACTACACTGTTTCTAGCAGAAATTCAACAGCCAGAGCACAATTTAGTATAAAAGAGGAGCTTTTGTAGTGGAGTAAAAGACTTTGTGTCTAATGCTACTCTCTCTCTCTCTCTCTCTCTCTCCTCTCTCTCTCCTCTCTCTGTCTCTCTCTCTGTTCAGTAGGTGAATTGTGGACGTCCTGTTTGTGCGAGTGCTCGCTCTGAGTGTGCACAGCCAGATATGTCCACCATGAACTGGAAGAGGAAATCCACACTCTGTGAAGGTGCGGTGATGGTGCTGCTGCTGGGTCACATGACCTTCGCCTTAGAAGTGCCTCTGGACTGTGAGTATTGAGTTGACGCTACACACGTCACTAACCAATGTCTGAAAAAATGACTGTCCTGCGACATATATTTACACATTTTTTATTTTGAAAAACGCATGTAAATGACAAGAGTATCTTGATTTTAGAGCCAGTTTAATTAGGTTATGTGTTTTTCTAGAACAACATTGCCACTAGCATCCTTAATGTCCTTTAAAGCATTCAAGGGTTTTTAAAGTAGAACTCTGTCACTGTATTCACGAGATGAAAGAACATCAGACTCTTCACAAACTGATTTTTTTCAGTCAAGAAAATGCAAAGTGTCTGTTATTTAAGCCATTGTTAGGTCTGTCTGGGTGTTTCTGTTGCATTTTCTCAGCTACTGTTTTATTTTTGCAGTATCAGTATAGCTTTGTACTAAATATACAGTTGTATGCAAACGTTTGGACACCCCAGTTAAATTACATGTTGTCGATTTCCCGAAAATAAGTTAAGGCATCCTCTACAGCAGGGGTGTCAAACTCAACCAGTAAAAGAGCCATATTAAAAAATCTCATCAAATCTGTGGGCTGGAGAAAAAAAGTTTTTATTTTATCTTTAATTATTGTTGTGCTGTAACCTGAACTGGTCACTGTTTATTCAAAATATGCAAAACCTTCAACAGTAACATACAGGCACTTGAACTAGACCTTGAAATATTACAAGGACACTTGAAATATTCAACATTTAAATGTCCCCAGGAGCTCAGTCTTTTAAACCTATCTATTTGCTTGAACCAGACACCTGGAATCCTTTCTTTGCTGCAAGTTCATTAATTCTTGGGCTCAGTTTCTGAGCTGCTGAGCTGGCGTTAGGTGTTTATATTGGTTGAACTGCAGCTGAAATGCATTTTGGTGACATGACTAATGTGGAATTGTGTAGAATTGTGGTGTAACTGCTGTCCCATAGACTGTTGTTGGGGTAGGAGAGTTGGAGCACATTACGTTGCAGTGCATGCTGGGGACTGTAGTGCATTGTGAAACAAGCCAATGTTAATAGAAAATTAAAACATTTTTGTGGGCCAGATAGGATTGTGTGGCAGGGCCTCATCTGGCCCGCGGGCCTTGTGTTTGACACATAGGCTCTACAGGAAGCAAACATATATATAATATGACATTTGTCTGCAAATTGTAGTGCACAGTTTCTGTTTTTTTTCTGTTTATCAAAAAATATAAATTTCCCAACATTAAATTAAATTCAGTAAATAAAACGTAATTTGACCAGGGGTGCCTAAACTTTTGCACATATCTCTCTCTCTCTCTCTCTCTCTCTCTCTCTGCGCGAAGAATCGCAGTAACAGTGAGCATAACCTAGTGCCACCTATGCTATAAAACCACTTAACTCTTCTAAGAGTGATAATGACAGTGTTCTGTTATACCAGCTGAAGTAGTCTCAGAGGAATATAATGCTTTTATAGAACAGAATAATGTAGAATAAATAGAAAATATAACAAAACTAATGACTCATAAGATTATGTTACAGGGTTTGGGAAATCACTATGTTTGCACACTTTGCACGTGTTAATAACTATACCACTGGTGTCATATGAAAACTCTTTTGATGTTGTCTTTTACGTTTTTACACTTTTTAAAACCACCAGTTGCCCTTTACATTTAGGGAATGTAAAATAGTGGACCAAAACTGATAAAAAGTCAGAGAACACTCTTCTAAATTAAACCTTCTACACTAAATATGTCGGCCTTTTCAGTATTCAGTCAGTCCACCCTTTACCTTTATTGCAGCTTCCATTCTTTTCAGGAGACCTTCTTTCAGTTTTTCAAAAAAATCTGCAGAGATATTTTTCCACACCTTAATGTTGCATGTTCTACTTCCAGTGTACAATAAAGATGTCATCAAAATATGGTTTGAAACACTGGTCAAATTTTAACATCTGTCTAGTGCCTCTCATTTTTATCCAGTGCTTGTAATTTAGACATCAGAAACTTTGAAAACTTTGAAAAAACAAAACATTTTGCTATGTTTTGCTATACGTAAGTTTATTTGTATTGACTGTAATTTAATAAAGTCTTTTTACAGTCAAATGCAAAGGCAAAGGACATTTTGTTGATTTTCCAAGTGAAAATAACTACACAACCTCTACAGAGAACACAACTCTGCACATTGTAATGCACAGTTACTGTTTATTTACTGAATTTAACACATCGCTGTTGCTGGAACAAAGCCTTGTATTTCCATTTTTGTTGTTTTTTAGTTTTTGACATAATTTGAAAATGCCCGTTGGCCTTTACATTGTGTGTAAATTTCATGATAAACGGACCAAAAGAAACGGCCCAAAATGAAAAATAAAAACAGTTTTGTCCTTCTCCTGCAAAGTTACCATTTTGGAGGTTTTGTTCCGACAGCAGCAATATTGAAAAAATTTGCATTTGCATTTTTTCCCAGTATGTTGAACTCAGCAAATAAATAGACATTGTGAAATCAGAAAAATGCCATATTTAAGTTCCCTTGAGAGGATGTGTCTTATTTTCACTTAGAAAATCAACAAAGCCTGTATTTGACTGTGGGTTCTTTGAACTTGTGTTCAGTTTTAAATGGGAAAAGGCATGGGGACTGCATGAGGGGAGTGGCATGTCCTGATTTAGCAGGTTAAAGGCAATTGTAGTGACTCTCTCTTCTTTTCTTGCTACTAATGCTGAGCTCTCTGACTCTCTGCTCATCATCTTTCTGTTTCATGTGGACAAATAAATAAAGCTAAAGTTCTGGAAGGATGTAAGTTTGAGCACCGTCTCTATGATGTTTGCTGTGGAACGTCTTTTCTCTCTTCGTTTGAAGTGGTTTGAACATGCATGGTGTTGTGTGACTCGCTAGCTTTCTTTCACCTTTCCATCAGTGTCAGGAAACTGTTGCATGCTAACATTTTAACGCTCAGAAAGCAAATTGCATTAGGAGAAATGTCACGACTGTGAGTTTACTGCATGTCGTATGCACTTTGGCTATCGGTCCCTCTTGTTTTACTGTAGTCAGCTGCTTAGTTGTAGCAGAATTGGACCTAAATTAGGCGCATGCTGTGTGCTGTGGTTTGTGCTGTTTTGTGCTGAACCAGATTCTGCAAAGGTGGGGCAGCTGTGTGGAATGTACCAGTGCGCAGAAGGATGTTTGTGTGGATGTGAATATGTTTCTGTCTGTCTCTCTGATACATCTTCACTCTCTCCACTCCAGTGCCACAGCCTCCCACTATAACCCACCAATCCCCTAAGGATTACATCATCGACCCACGAGAGAACATTGTCATCCACTGTGAAGCAAAAGGGAACCCGCATCCCAGGTGGGTGTCAGTTGGAATCCCATGGTTACCATCACCATAGCGACTGTTTCTTGACACATGCTGTCACTGAAGATCCTTTATCTCACACTCATACACACACACACACACACACACACACACACACATACACACGCAAACACACACACACACACACACACGCATTGTTGCCTTTTGTCGCAAAATAACTTTTTCTAAGATCTGCACATTCTCCTCTTCTTCAATTCATACTCTTATTTATTATGTATATGCTTCACTGAGATAACCCAGGTGGATAGCTAGTGATAAAATATGAACTGCTGAAACCTTTTATCTTAAATGTGACATAATCTTGACAGTCAGTGTGCTATGAACTAATGCTAGCTAAGTAAGTTAAGGTCAGCATTTCTTACTGCCCACCTGCTCGGATATGTCCTCATCCTCCTTAAGCAGCTTTTTCCTTCTTGTCTTCTTGGTGCCACTTTGGCTTTTTTGCGGTATTTGCCGCTGCTGTCTATCTTTGCATGATTCACATTTGAAAATACATCAGTAATGCAAAAAGAATGAGTGCCTGTTGTGTCAGCCAGTACCAGATTCATACCATTACACTTTTTGATATGCTAATCTCACAAAGCTGATGTTGACTTCTTGTTCTATGTTCCATTTCACATTAAATAGTGCAGCAGTTACATGCTAGTGCCTGTATAGGTGGAACAGGAATGAGGAATTAGAAGGGGGAATAACTTAACTTCACCTAATATCTGTCCACTGTTTGAGACTCGGGTACAATCCACAAACTGGGACTGCACCACTTGAGGTGGGGGCTGCTGCTTTAACCCCTAAATTAATTCAGATATTCACTTGGATGTAACATTTATAGTTTGTCTGAGCTTTCTTGTGCTTAAATGCGCGTTTATACATTAGCTCACTGTAATTGGCCCAAAATACTACTGACTCAGTTGGAATTCTCCCGACTCTCCCGATTACCCACTCCGGCACTGACTGTAATCTATTTCAGTGTAATGTGTCAACTTCACCAACAGATCAATGTCCAAAGTTTGGGGACACCCTGCTTTCTTTTGAAGTGTTTCAATGAAGTAAGACAATAAATACACTAATAACTAAAAGGTTGGAATCAATGTTATCAATTATATCAATAATATAAATATAGCTGGTAGTGAGGTCTCCCATTGGTTAGGGCTTCAGTAGCTGAACTGAAAGCCTAATGTGTCAGATTAACCACCAGTGTAATTAGGAACTGACAGTGGAATCAATTGATAATGTCATTCTAGGACTTCTGAAAGTCTAGGAAGCTATAAATAAAAGTTAGGAAAGTTTAGATTTTTCTAAATTGATGAACGGAGGTGTTAGAGATTGTAAAATGACAGAGAAAGCTATATAGCATTATGAATGTTGTAATAAAATTAATATCCAGAACTCGGTTATCAAATCTTGAGGTAGATAGTTTGACAGTAATTACTGTAAATAGATGATTACAGTATATAAGTTACAGTATGTAATAACTAAAAATCCTTGAAATATTGAAATAAAACATCTGAAAATGCAGCTCATTGTCTACTTTCTAAGATTTTATATTTAATTGTATATTGTTAGTTATTATTGAAAAAAATGCAAATGAATATAAAACTTTTGAAAGGTAGTGTATGTGGAAAGATTTTGTTAACATGAAGCAGCAATTTACTAAACAGTTCAGCTTCATGTTTTTCAGAGTTTTCCTTAATAATAATTTGACAGTTTTTTTTTCTTTGCTACTGTTAAAAACACATACTAACAATCATTTGTCCCAAATCTGGTTTAAACAGCTGAAGGGTTTGAGTGCTGACAACTCAACATGTGTATAAAATTTGTGGGATTTGGTGTTATTCCCAATATGGTAATGCCACAAGTTTTTCATAGCACTGTATCAAAATAATATGGTTAGTCTTTAATATGTTATTTCAAAACAACAACAACAACAAAAAAAACACACACATTTGTATTAAAAGCTGTTTGAAAAGCTAAGTGTCCACCTTTTTAATGGCCAGTTTATGCACAGGCCTGGTAACACTGTACTATTTTGAATTCCTCTCATCTTGCAGCTTTTCATGGACGCGCAATGGCACTCATTTCGATGTGGAAAAAGACCCTAAGGTGATCACCAGGTCTAACTCAGGCACGCTGGTGATAGACATCAGTGAGGAGAAAGCTGAGGCATATGAGGGAGTGTATCAGTGCATGGCGCGAAATGAACACGGAACAGCAGTGTCCAACAACATCGTCATACGACAGTCCAGTAAGAGCCCACTCAGTCCTTCAATATCAAACAGCAGTCATAATGTAAAGCTACATAACCCACACTTGAACGAATAAGACCAGACCTGCATTTTTGTTTGATTAATGTAAATTCTGAGTGTAAAAAATGCTGTTCTCATTCTTTAACCCTTAGAAGTCTAGAGTCGTTGCTGTTGTTTTGCTGTACCATTTACATATACTTACATCATTGCATACTTAAAGGAGAATTTCACAGATTTTTCAAAATGTCTGCATAATTACATGGTTAAGATACAAACAAAGTCATTCAGAGTGGTTTGCTGTGAAATGCTCTGTTTAGGAGAAACGTTCTGAGTCAGAATTGTTCATAGTGGTGGTGATAGGAACCAGATGTCTGAAGAGTTTAATGTCTCTTAAAGCTTCCTCACAGAAAGCTGTTACATGAAATATTTATAAAGATGCTGCCTGATGCCTGAGACACCTGAGTTTCATGGTACTTTTAAAAGAAGCCTTTGGCCTACATGCAGGGTGAAGAACTACATGTATACTACATTATAAAGAAATATAGCCCCCCAATAGAAAATGTCTTATTTTCCGATTTACTACTCTATTTTAGCATCATCAACATTACATATAAAAACTCAGAAGACACTGGTGTTGGTTCTCTGGTCATTTTGGATAATAAATAAAATGGCAATATTTGTGTTGTATATAATGTGACCCGCTGGTTCCTATCACCACCACTGTAAGGATCTCAGAGTCTACAATGGACTTTTTCACATCAAACCAGTCTAAATGACTTTATTTACACCTCAACCATTGTGTGGAAATTTTGAAAAAGTCCCTTTTAAGGTTATATAATAATGTCTCTTATATTTACAAACACAAATGTGGTGTCAGTTTAAAGTTTAGAATCTACACTTTTGAATCTGCATGTTTTTATCTGTTTGATTCAGTAGCCACAAGTAATAAGTGATTAATATGAAATTGCTTCTGTTATCGATGTCAGGCACATGTAGTAGGCCTGCCAGGAAAGAAAATGTGCTGTGCTGAAAGATTATGAGGATTCTCTCAGTAAGAGACTTTTGTTCCACAGAGTCCCCCTTGTGGTCGAAGGAGAGAAATGAGCCAATCACAGTACAGGTGGGCGTGTCTCTGATTTTGCACTGCAGACCTCCAGCTGGCCTCCCCCCACCAATCATATTCTGGATGGACAACAGTGAGTCAAGACAGCATCCAAAACACACTCACATTCATCACCTAGTACCTTTGAGTACCTTTGACAATAGTTTATGCAGACATGTCAATCTGGGGACCTTCTGGGCCGATAGATTCACTAATCAAACATACAAAAGTTAAGGTTGCTTCTTAGTGTGAACATGTTCTGCAGATTTCCAACGGCTGCCTCAGAACAGTCGCGTGTCTCAGGCGCTGAATGGAGACTTGTACTTCTCTAATGTGCTGGCGGAGGACACCAGAAATGACTATATCTGCTACGCCCGCTTCCCTCACACTCAGACCATCCAGCAGAAGCAGCCCATCACAGTCAACGTGCTGAACGGTGAGGTTCTCCACCCAGCTAGTGCTGCAGCTGAAGACACCAATTCAGATCCCTTTATTGCAGTAGCTTATCTTATTTTATTTCAGGACTACAATAAAGTTTCAAGGTTGGATCTCATCAATAAGTTGAACGTTACTCTGCTTTATCTGAGAGTGTTGTGCTTCAGTGTGATAGTAGATGACAGTAGCTCATGCTAAAACATAAGTAGCATGATATTGGAAGCATTTCTCATACTTTTTCTTTAATTATTTATTTATTTACGGTCAAAATGAATACAGTATGAGTAGAAAACATATGATAATATTAACAAATAGACTTATTTTTTATTATATTGTATTATATTATATTATTTGTTAAATTAGATGTCATTAAAAACTAAGTTAACAAATCCTCTGAAGAGAACACACTTCTGCACATTTTAATGCACAAATACTGTTTATTTGCTTGAATTTAAAACATTCAACAAAAAATATAGCCTGAGAAAAAACGTGTGCCATTTTATGTTTTTTCTGAAATGTTAAACTCAGCAAAACAAACAGAAGTTGTACAGAAAAATGCCACATTTAAATGTAGTCCTAATAGGCCCCATATAGAGGATGTGTTAACTTACTTTAGAAAATCAACAAAGCGTGTAATTTGACCTGAGGTGTTCAGACTTTTGTGTATTTGGATACCTATGAATAAAGTTTTGGACTAAATCTAATTAACAGGTGGAATATTTCTTCATAAAGATACAGGTGGATTTGAGTTATGAGCTTTAGTGAGTTTAGTGAACTACAGCAGCAACTGAAATGGAACTAAACTCTGAGAGTTGATGAAATGGTAATAACATCAACAGCACGATATTGAAAAAGCAGACCTTGATTCCCTTAATTTTCATTTTTTCATACACCTTATTCATTTTATTCTGTTACGTTCTGTTAGCTTTGCATGCTTATGATTTTTTATTGTATTTCAGTTGATGCAATGAATGAGACAGTCTTGGCAGCTTATTTGAATGACACTGATTTTTTGGGTGGTGAGTTCTAGCAGACTTCGTCCAAGTGAACCCTGCTTCCTACTCTGTAGTTCCATCTAACCAGTAAATTAACACAGCCCCCTTAAACCTCTGCCCACTCCTCACTCTTCATCATCATCTTCAGATAATCTACACCAGATCCTCTCTGATTCTGATTTCAGTCACTTGGAATTAATATCATGTCAACACCTCTACCGTTCTTCACCGTCACTTAAGGATGAAAAAGAGACTATGGCTGACATTACAAGTCATGTTTGTTCTGTGCACATTTCCATAGAATGAACATTAATTAATAACGTAATGGACATAAAGTGATGGCAGTAACCAGTCCTTTTTCATCAGTCAGTGTTAGTATAGCATTTCCCTTAATATTTAGATGATGTACTAGATTTATGTCACATACTAATATAACTGTCCACTAAACTTTGTCTATGTGTTTGAAAGAAGTTAAGTGTTCTCAGTACAACCTTTGATTAAATGTTAAATGTGATTATCTGTCCCATTTTCATGATTTCTTCTTCTTAAATCCTTCAATTCTCTTTTTAAACCTAATGTAAAAAGAGGCAATGGAAGGAAATTGTCATCCAATCAGAAATGCCTGCTATCTAGTAAGAGGTTCACTTGATTGTACGCATAAGGCACATTCCAACAAGTCAAAGTTAAAGGGGAATTCCACCGATTTTTCAAAATGTTTGCAGAATTCAGTCAATGAGAGGCATACAGAGTCATTCAGAGTGGTTTGCTGTGAAATGCTCTATTCAAGACAAACCTATTCAGACTCTTTACAGTGGTGATACAAACCAGGGGTTGCGATGTCTACAATACAAATATAGCCATTTTATTTACTACACAGCCAGCCATTTACTACACAGTCTACATGTGTCTTCTGAGTGTTTGTATATGTATATGTAAAGGTGTTGATGATGATAAAATAGCAGTAAAATACAAAAATCTAATTTTCTTTGGGTACTACTTTACCTTACAAGCCCCCCCCCATGAATGGCTTTAAAAAGGACCTTTCAGCTTAAAGCAAAACTATCGTAAAACAATGCCTCAGCCATCCAGCAATGTATTGTTACCATCACATGTAATAACTCTCTGTGAGGGGGCTTTTAGAGGCATTAAACCCATCAGACGTCTGGTTCCTGTCACCACCACTGTGAAACAATACCAAGTGAATTTCTGTAGACCGGACCATTTCATATCAAAACACTCCGAATGACTTTTGTTTACATTTTAGTGATTTAATTATGCAGAAATTTTGAGAAAATCGGTTAAATTTCCCTTTAACGTTTTGCTAAAGGATTAAGTTTTACCATCACAGTGACAGAGAAAAGACATACATTACGTCACTGTTGTTCACCAGTCAGGTACATTGTGCTTGATTTACAGTCAACATTTCCAGGTACTTTAGTTGTACTTTGGTATATCTTGGCTGGTAATATTTGCATTACAAGGTTTTTCTTCATTCGTGTACTGGCTACATATTCAGGCTGTGTCTAATATCTGACTGACTTTCATCTTCATTTAAGACCGTCCAGCAGGAGAGCGGAAACCCTCCTTTATGTACCCGTCAGGGGCCAGCAGCACTGTTTCAGTCCTGAGAGGAGAAACTCTAGAGCTGGAGTGCTTCGCTGATGGTCTGTGAGTATCTGGAAGAAGAGAGTGGTAGACCATTGTGATGAGGAAGCAGTAGATAGATGTAGGTACAAAGTCATTTATTGACAAAATTTCTTCAGAACTTAGTCATAGCATTAACTCTTTAATTCCTTGGTTCCTATCACCACCACAACAATTCTAACTTTGTAAGTTTCTCTAAAACAAAGCATTTCACATCTAACCACTCTGATTGACTTATTGTACAGATTATCCTTTTAATTGTGCAGACATTTTGGAAAATTGGCGGAATTCCCCTTTTAGGTTTAAGCTTTTTGCTAAAGGAGTAAACTTATTCATGGCCATTTAAGTATGCAGAATTTTATAAATCAGTGAACTGAATTATCTGAATTTCAGCCTAGATGTACACTTGTTCATCAGACAACAGTAGCGCAGCAGAGGCTGAGACAGTGATGTGTGTCTGCCACTCTTTATTATTGAAGTATTATACATGACTCATTTGATGCATCACTTTAACCAACATAAGGATCTTTTTGTCACAACCGGTAAGGCGAGTGGTTCAGTGACTTAAAGACTTGCTTTTAAGAGACTCATATCATGGAAAACTCACTCTGCACTCCATACAATCTATATATGGAAACTAAGCTGCAAAAACAGTCTGTTTTGAAGTTACTGTTTTTGCAATGTCACAAAAACCAGTTCATTTTCAGCTGTTAGGGTCATTTTCAGGCTGGACTGCTTTTTGAATGAGGCTCAGTACAGGGCAGCCATTCACAACAGAGCTCATTTACACAAAGTCTCAAAAACACAGTAACATAAACAACTTGTTTAAACCTAAGGGATAAAGATAGGTTGAAAAATTGTCATGTAAAAATGAATTATGATAACTTGTTAATCATGTAGAAAAGTGCAGAGCTGAAACAGGAAGGAGCCCTGACAATGATACTGATGGGGTACTGCAAGATAAGGAAGTCACCTTTTTTCACCCTGTTGCCTCTTTTCCTCTGCATTTCAGGCCAACGCCAGAAATCTCCTGGACTAAAGTAAATGGGGACCTGCCCAGTGACCGCTTCTCCTTCCATAACTTCCAGAAGATGCTGAAGATTGCTGAGGTGATGGAGGCGGATGGAGGAGATTACCGCTGCTTGGCCAGGAATCGCTTAGGCAGTGCTCAACACATCGTCACTGTGGTGGTCAAAGGTCTGTGCTTTTCTGGACTGATTTTCATAATTTAAATACCAAAATGACCTTATGTTGTATTTCAGCTGAAATGTTTAGAAACTTTGAATACACAAAAAAGATTTGTTAGTAAAAATATTTTAACCTAAGCCGTTAATCTGATATTTTGCTTCAGAGTTGTCAGGAAAGGAGATGTCTGTGATATTTTATTTATTCTATATGCTTGTTTAGTGAATTGAACCAAATTGCAATTAAATATTTCCTTTCCTCCTCTCCCCATTTGCTACCACAGCTACGGTCATTTTATTTCTCTTCCGATTTTTTTTTCTTCTTATATTGTTTAATGGCTTATAATAGCCTCCCTCAACTTCCTGTTCTCGGTCAGAAAGTCAGAACCATCCAAAACAAACGTTTTTACACTACAAACGAACCCGAACCATGATTCAGTTTGATCTGGACCAAGACCACCGCTTTTTTGGTTGGACCAAATTTTGGTCCTTTGGTCTGGACCAAGGTCCAAGGTACCTTTCACACCTGCTTTTTGGTTCGGACCAAAACAAAAAGTCAGAAGGTCTGGACCAAACAAAGTAGGTGTGAAAGTACCCCAAAGCCCCATTGCACTAGTTACTGATTCTTATTAATCTCATGGCTTGTGCACCAGGAACAGATTAGTGATTAACTCTTAGAAGTCTAGGTTTATTACTGTGATATTGTAATATTATTTCAATGTCATTACATGATTATATGATGAATGACATAGTTAATTGCATAAATTGCATAAATCTATGAAGGGGAGAAAATGAGGGATCTTTACAACCAGACAAACTGTTTTTTCTTAAATGAGGGAAAAATATGCTTTAATTATAATAATAATATATAATAATAGATAATAGGATACCACCCGTTTTACTTGAAGTCTCGAACTTTTATCTGATAGGTCTGTGGTTTGTTTGTGTTTTGACTTGATGAGTGCCCTTGACAATTCCAGTGTAGATGTCCTGAAGGCTTTGTGATGCGATGTGATTCTACCTTTGAATGCTCACTTGCTGTTAGGACATGGTGTAAGGGTTAAATTAAATTGCAAACTGCTGCTGTTTGGAGAGTGAACACTGTGATGCTTGATTCTATTCGGCCACACAGCGGCTCCATTTTGGATCAGCGCTCCCCGCAACCTCATCCTGGCCCCCAAAGAGATGGGCATGCTCATCTGCCATGTGGGAGGCAACCCCAAACCCACGATCACCTGGCTGGTCAATGGTGTCCCCATAGAGAGTGAGTATCCTTCAGTCAAAATTTGATCTCCGTCCATGAGCAGGAGCAGTAAACTATGTTCAGAAGGATGGTAGAGTGAATGTATGTATTTATATAGCTTATTCTTCTTGATAGATTCGCCCAAAGATCCTAGACGGAAAATAGAGGACAACACCATTACCCTGAGTGATGTGCAGACCAGCTCCAGTGCTGTCTATCAGTGCAATGCATCTAATGAGTTCGGCTACCTGCTGGCCAATGCCTTTGTCAATGTGCTTGGTGAGTCATTGCTGTTTTTGTCTCTTAGGGTGAAACTGACTAGTGAATGGCTTGAGAATATTTAAGGTGATGATCAGTCTAACTATGGATTTAAATAGAAACCTCAGCTATTGCATAGATGGCTTTATTAAAGGAATAGTTCTGCAAAAAATGTAATTTGACATAGATAATACATTTGTTTGCAAAAAGGATGAATAAAATAAATAAAAGAGCCATATGTACCCAACCTTTATATGGAAAAGAAGATGCTTATAAAGATGGACTACTCTCTGATGTGTGGTTTAAAATCCTGTTTCATGGTGAATTGATGGTGCTGGACATTACATGTTGTACAAGATAACTAGGGGTGTAAAGAGTACTGAAAATCCCTACTCAAGTACAAGTACTGTTACTGTAGTGATAATTTAAGTATAAAATTAGGTATAAGTAAAAGTATTAGTAAATAAAATTACTCAAGTAAGAGTAAATAAGTAGTTCGCTGAAAAACTACTTAAGTACTGAGTTACTTAGTTACTTTTTCCTATTTCCGCTGTCACAATCTGAACATATTTCTGAGCTGACTCGGCTACATCACTGGAAATAATCTGTACAGAAAAACACTAAAGCTAAAGTTCTGAGAGCTGAGACTGATCACAGTCCACTCTGCTAGAGCACAGTTACACACCTTTCTGTGAACGGAGTCAGGAACAAGGTTTACATTACACTGCATGCATTTCATGGTTAGATGATAATATAAGATGTCCTAGTTTATCTGTTTCTAATAAAGTGTTTTAGAATCCCTGAAAGACTGTGCAGATGTTGTTACTGTTTAATTAAGTTCATTTAAGAGAAGAAAAACTGTCAAAATTATGAGTAAATTGCTTAATTAATGATATAATCTTAGTCCTGCTGCCCATCAGATCCCTGGACTCTATCTTACGTTAATAGGTGTGAACCTCTACAGACAGTAAACACATTCACAGCCTTCAGACTGTATATTTTCACTGATATCTGTTCAGAACATTTACACCATTAAAATCAGCGGCAACATCAGCAACTTACCCAGCTTTGATTTTTACTGTAATATATTTCACCAGTAATCATGCTGATCACTTCATACAGAATCAGACATTATTACTGCATTTCACAGTTAAACAGCTACACAGCCTCTCACAGTTAAAGACGCCAAGGCAGAGAGAGAGAGAGAGAGGAAGACAGAGAGGGAGAGAGAGAGTGCGGAGAGGTGGGGAGGGATCAGATCAGGCCAGTCAATGACAGCATGACAGAATCACAGCTCAGAGTTGATGAAGAACCTGTATTAGACCGGATTTCTTGTCTCACAGCCGTTAATGACCGTTTATCTCCAGAACAGCAGCTAAACTAGGCTGTATTTTAAACATAAAGGAAAGGAGAAGACCGTAAACACAGTACCTGTTTAGATCAGCTAGCTCAGCTAATGCTCTCTCAGGCTGGAGTGGAGTTGTGAAAGCGGATCTCAGCAGGTTTTGTGTTCGGCTGCTGATAATAACGCCGTTTTCTTTAGTTCATGTTACCGTTTGGACGTGGTCTGTTCCTCGTATGTGCTGGTCCAGTTCTCCTCTGTCCTTCTCCACTAAACTGGACATCTTTGTAGTGTTTTTCCTGCTGGACCTGCTGTTTTTTGATTGGTGAACCTTTTAAATTTAACTGCTCTTTGTTCCTATAGGTTTCTGAACTGATACGCTCATAATTTATTTTTACTCTGTAACGTTATGAAAATTAAAGTAGCAAAGTAAAAGTATTTCATTAAAAATTAACTCAAGTAAGAGTAAAAATTCTATGATTTAATTCTACTCCAAAAATTACCATTACAAGGAAAACTGTACCCAATTACAGTAACGAGAGTAAATGTAATTTGTTACTTATACCTCTGAAGATAACGTTCTGTGTTGCTCCCCATAGTGAGTTCTGTTTAACACTATCAATAAGCATAATCAATAATTGACAGCAAAAACAATTATTTGTAAGTAAAAGTTTTTGTTTTAAAAGTTTTTACAAAACGTACTGCAAAGTTCATCATCACCATCGCACATTTGTGGTATATGATAAATTGTATATATGCAGTTTGCAGAATGCTAATTTGTGAGTATTAGCTTCTACGACAAGGTAATTACATTTTTTTGTTCACTGTAAGAAGTAAGAAGCAGTTTCATTACAATGTTGTTTCTTTTAGCTGAACCTCCGAGGGTGCTGACACCTCCAAACTACGTGTACCAGGTTATCTCCAATCGCCAAGCCATGCTGGATTGTGCCTCTTTTGGATCACCCTTACCAAAGATCACTTGGTAAGTGTATCTGAACACAATCCATGTCTGCACTGAGGATTTTATTAGTTGTTTTTTTTCCAGTGGCTACCTTTAAAGAGTGTGTCTCAAACACTCACACCGTTAATTTTGTCATATTGACTTTTTCTTTATTTGGTTTTCTGTAGGTTTAAAGATGGCCAGACTGCTATAGTGGATGGGGATTCCTATATCCTGCACGAAAACGGCACTTTACAGATAAACGTAGCACAGCCACTGAACAGCGGAAAGTACACCTGTGTGGCGACCAACAGCCAGGGCAACAGAGAAAATCATGTATATCTGGAAGTGAAAGGTCAGAATAACATCTCTGTTGTGTTTATATACTGCACTGAATTGATTTAACTGTGCAATAAAAACAGTCAACAGTGATCTCATGAGTTCCTTCATTTTAAGTAGCACTTAGAACACAATACTGCATGTGCTGGTGGCTATCACAATGCCTGAGGACCTGAAAAGAACGAATGAATGAGTGTGAAAGAGAGAGAAAGAATCGGACCTTCGTTTTCTCTCTCTATTCTCAGAGCCCACGCGGATCCTGAAGCAGCCTGAGTATAAAGAGGTGCAGAGGGGCAGCAAGGCTGTCTTTGAGTGTAAAGTGAAGCATGATCTCACACTTATCCCTACCATGACCTGGCTTAAAGACAACGGGGAGCTGCCTGATGATGAGCGGTAAGGTCGAAGGTCCACAGTCATCCTAATTACCACGTGGGGGTGCACTGATCATTTATGGCTGATTCCAATTTCTTTACTTTTATATTTATATTTTATTATACATATATTTTTAACCTGAAGCTCACACTGTGTGGGCTAAATTAATATATTTATGTGTATTTCAATTATGGTGCTACACCATTACCAAAATATTGTGCCATAATTATGTATGGCTCATTGTGCTAAGTTGTTCCTTACTTTTGACACTGTGTTGAGCTGCTAGTGAGCAATGACGGGTGAAGGGGGAGGGGTGAGAACCCCCTGCTGTGAAAACAGTTAACTTATCTCATAACAGCTGGGCTGAGATAAGACAGACACAACTGCAACTTCCTTTATATAAAAAAAAAATCATGCACAACTGCCACAATGAAACACTTTTATAAAGGCTGACTTGTTGGCTCCCCTATAAAGACGAAAATCCAAAAACTGAGGGACCTCCAGAGCAGGTGCAAAATGCATTTTATGGCTACTGTGAAAAAGGATTAAATAAAAAATCAGCTGACTATTTAAATAACATGAATCAAATGAAGCACTACATCAAAAGGAAGACACAACTGGCTATTTAGCACAATGAGTCATGCATAATTATGATGTGATATTTTGGTACAGGTTACAAGTAGTGTTCAAGTACAGTGTGAGAGCACTCATATTGTTTACTTCATAAAATTGCAACAGATTGGTTAGTGTTTGTTCATTCCCTTAATTCCTTTACTTCATCCTTTACAGCATGAAAAAAACACCAGTTTTGCTCATCTATTTTTGTACGACAGCATTTTAGGGCCACTATTAATAAAAATAAAACTAGTAGACTTTGAAAATAAAGTCATAATATTTCAAGAATAAAGCCGTAAAATTACAAGAATAAACTTGCCATATTTTGAGGATAAAGTGTCTAACTGTAGGTGGGCTGCCATAACGCGTTGGGGTCTCGGTTGCTGTACTGGCGAGGTAAAAGACGCCGAGTGCCCCGGAGTTCCACACAATCCTGTCTCCTTGTGGATCGATCATTTTGATGATCATTCTCACTGTCTGTGAAACTACATGCCCTCTTTGAATGACACGGCGATGTAGCCACTGATAGCCGTGTAGACGACCCTGCCTGCGATTCTCCTTCAACAAAACAGACAGTTTCCTCCGAGTCCGTCTGGGTCTTAATTCTAGATAAACACAGTTTCCTGCACAGCCACTTCTTATACTAATAACAGGCTGGTGATGATGTGCCAGGAGAGACAGGGAGACAGTGTTTCTTCATTGGTGAAATTGATATGAAAGTATAACTCCATCAACTCCTCAACATCCTCCATTTTAACAGGAGGAGGTGCTGCCTTCCTTTTGCAAATGCTTTGGCCATAATATTGTGAACTTTCCTGAATTAATGCCACTTTAATGTTGTAATTCTACGACATTATCATCAAAATATTATGACTTTCTTCTCAAAATATTATGATTTTATTCTAAAAAATATGACTTTTTTCTCAAAATATAACTTTATTATCGAAATATCATACAGTATGCCTTTTTTACTCAAAACATTCCGACTTTGTTCACGAAATGTCATTATGTACGACATTTCATCTCAAAATCTTACGACTTTATTCTCGAAGTCTACTAAGATTTTTTTATTGACAGGTGCCCTAAAATGCCATCGCAATTTTTGAGTAAGAGAAGATGTTTTAAAATTTTTATCTCCTGTGCCGTCATCTAAAAAGTCTACAGCCCCATGTTACTTTGGTCTGAAGTCTGTTTTTTCCCCTTTTTTGTTGTTGTGTTATCTTCCCTGTGGTTAACCAGTATCAGTTTATTAATTCTTACAGATACTTAAATGTTTTAAATAACTAGTAGTCAGAATGCACATGCCCGGTTGTGATGATGTAGGCTGGGTCTAAATATCTCTATTTGTTAGAAAGCTTGATTGTAGTAATTTTAATGTGTATTTCATTCACTTTCTACAAGTACACGTGTCCAAATAATGTTATTTATGTTGCATACCAGTTATTATCATGATAGATATTTTGTTGTCCTTCTTTCCTTTACTTCAGCTGCACTTTTGATTAATTTACTACATTCCTACATTTACATGGATGAATATTCTTATGATTAGGTTTGAATACATGACAGTTTTTGTTTTGATTGTACATTCATATGTGAAGTGTGTTCATATGTTAATAAGAGCTTTTTGTGTGTTTGTAGGTTTGTGGTGGACTCAGACAGTCTGACTATAAATGATGTGACGCAGGAGGACGAAGGCACGTACACATGCATCATGAACACCACTCTGGACCAGGACTCAGCCAGCGCCATGCTCACTGTAGTCGGTACGATCTTGATCTTTTTTTGTTAGTCTATAAACATTTGAGACTTCTCCTGGGGCCTGTTTCACGAAACCAGATTTTTTAGCTAGCTAACTTAAAGCTTAGTTTAGTCTAGCCTGGGATCAACCTAACCTGTGGCATGAGTCAAGTGAAGAACCAGACACTTGAAGCTTTTGAAGGACATTCCATGTTTTACATGAAGCTTGTGACAAACATATTAGCCTTTATTTAGCGTATATTTTACCTTCTAGCTGTTTCACAATGACTCTTTCTGTAGTGCACTCTGGTATAGTGCTGCCAGCACTGTTTTCCATTTCTAACAACCAATTGATTAGCCTTCTGCTCATATTCACAGTGATGTGTCTAGGACTTGGTCCCACCCATTGTAATTCAAAATGTGATTGGCTGTTTCCTCTGTCACTTTGTAATTATGTAGATAGTTAACTAAGTCTATACCAATAGGAGAGTTTGCTATATGTGTATAGCCATAGCTGTATCTACCTAGATACCAGAGAGAAAAACAATTCCTGATTGGCCAGTTTTCCACTTGGCACTTCAATAGTACTTGCAGTTTAAATACAAGCACGATTCTATTGAAAAAAAAAAAAAATTACAGGCGCACAATTTTTAGTTCCCAGAAATCATTATGCCTTCTCTGGAGGCCCTTCTGAATTTTACCTTTCCACTCTCCAAATCCTCAAATTTTATGTAGTGTAGCTTTTAAAATATATAGGAATTCTAACTCTGATAAGCACTTGCAAGGTGGCAATGGCAACAACATTGCTTTTTATCATTATGCATTCTTTCAACGTATTTATGTAGTAAGATTTGAATTCTTTGTCATTGAGGCATGATTAATAGATTAATCACACATAGATTCACAACTTTAGTATCTGCACCTAATAGAGACAGAGAGTTATTAACCACCATCATAAAGCAAGTTAAACACGGCTGCATTTGTTAGGTTTATTGAAGCTTAAGCTTACTCAGGAACTCTGACTAAGTTAAACTTGCTTTGTGAGACAGTCCCCAGGGCACATGTCTAGCTTTAGTAATTAGCTTTAATGCTGGCTAATTTAATGCTGACCTTTAACATTTCACTGACTTCTCTTCAGATTGGTAGTTCAGATTTTAGGTTTTGAATCAGCAAAGCTTCCATATAGATCAGGGCAATCCAACTGTCTTCATATACATTAGCACAGGGGTGCCTTAACCTGGTCCTGGAGATCTACCATCCTACAGAGTTTAGCTCCAACCCTAATCCAAAACACCTGATCCAGGTTATGAAGGACTTCAGGAGCGTTGGATCAGAACTCTCCAGGGTGAAAGGTGAAGATCCAGAGCCAGCTTAAGGGGAGCGTGGTCGCTTCTTGTTTCTCCCATTATTCAAGAACATGACTGCAAAATGCTTAAAAGGTCTCCATAAGCGGGTGCTCAATGAACGGGGCTGAGTGGAACTGAATGACTGAAAATGAAAACTTCTTCTGAAGCATTTGTGCTGATTACTACTGAACATCCTTTAATTTTGAAAGTTGAAAGAAGTATTTCACTAAAAAATCACAGACTTTACCAGCATATTTCCATTTTTCTACAGCAAACAGGATTTAGGCAGTAGGACGCTAGCATTACTGCAGCTAATTGGTCGCTGATGCAGTTTGTGCTCACTGACGTCATAAACGTACATGAGTCCCTGTAAGAAAGTCCTATAACTGGACTTTAAAAACACTTGAAAATATAACATACATACATACATACATACATACATACATCATCTAAACCGCTTATCCTTCTGGGTCGCGGTGGGGTGCTGGAGCCTATCCCAGCTGTCATTGGGTGAAAGGCTGAAAATATAACAGTAGTGTTAAAATATGTTATGCTGTTCTGTGTTCAGAAAGTTAGTGCAGTTCTCTAGATTTACAAACTGTGATTTTGCACAAAAGTTCCATAGAAACTCATTCATTTTGGACTGGGCTTGGGAACGCCTTCTTACGTCTGACAAACTCAGAAGACATTTTTGAGTGGCAGTTCTCTTCACTACACAGATATCCAGGTAGATCTGAAGGAACAGGATTGGGCAACCTTGCATTAGCCTGTTATGCTTGACATGTATCATGCTGTTGAAACAATTTGTCTTAAACAAAAACTTACAAAGTATCCCTGATGAAGTGTGTAACTACTGAAATAAGAGCTAATTTTAGAGTGCACTTGTGACACTAAAAATGAACTCTCCTCCTTCTGCTTTTCCCTGGGCAGAAGCCACTCCAACTCCACCTATAATCTACGGTAAAGCATGTGACTTTAGCTCCCTCAAACCCCCAACTCACTCTTATCATTCATTCATTTTTTTGTTCATTTTTTGTTTTTTTGCCATAATGTCCTAGTTCACTCCATGGTGCAAAAAGTGGGTTAAAACATGGGCCATTTCTTTAATAGAATTCCTAAATCCTTAATTTTCTTTTGTGAAGTGATGTATGATTTTTTTTTTTGGTTGGTAAGTCATACGTGGGCCATTCATTTATTACACTTCCTTTTATTTGTGCTTTTATTCAGAAACTTGCATGTCAGTCATCTTGATTGTGATGCTCTTGACTGCCATTGGTTGGTGATTGGTAATAATGATGATAATGATGCATGATCTTCCAGAGCGTCCAGACCCACCCAGAGACCTGGAGCTGACAGACCAGCGGGAGCGAAGTGTGCAGCTGACCTGGACCCCCGGAGACGAACATAACAGCCCTATTCAGTGTGAGTGCAGCAAGAGCTTTCTCAAAGACCTTTAATATCTGGCAAATTTCTGCCTTTTTCATTGTTCTTTGAAATAATTTTCCTTTGTAAAACATGACATTTTTCAAGCATTGAAAGGATTAGAGTGAAAAGAATGTGAAAAAAGTGTAATCATATCAAACCAAATGACTTTGCTAAATGCATTCTGTGTCTCTCCAGTGTTTCTAATCCAGTACGAGGACTCTCTCCATGAGCCAGATGTGTGGAATAATATGACCGAGGTACCAGGTACGAGCACCACAGCTCACCTGGATCTCTCCCCATATGTGTACTACTCCTTCAGGGTGTTGGCACGCAACGACGTGGGCCTGAGTGAACCTAGCATCCCTTCCAGCCAGTATCGCACCAACCCTGCCTGTAAGTGACACCACAGATCTCTTTTTAAATACTCAGCCCTGTTTGTTAGAGCTGCACTGTGAAAGATTTGGGGAGTTGGAGAATGTAGAGAGAATGTAGGGTTAGCCCTACACATTCACTACGCATGTTGCGTAGGGCCCTCAAATTATGCAAGGGCCCCGTCTCCCCCTTGCGTCATAGATACTTATTATTTACAGCTTCAGTGAGTGGATGAAGTGGAACTATTCATCTGGTCACGAAAGCTGGGCATACTGGGCACTATGGATGCACATTTCTCAGTAAATAATAGCCATCAAGTTTTCAGGAAAGCCAAAGTATAAATAGTATTTAAATTTGAAAATGTATAAAAGGAAATCTGGGGGAGCCTGTTTGAATGGGCCTGATGCAGCTGATAAAATTAATAACAGTGTTGTAAGTCCACTTATTCTTAGACTGACAGATGGAGCAAACTGTTTTAAATGATTATTTCAGGCTTTACAGGGTGACTTGCAGCAGCACACGCAAAGCATATTTTATTATGTGTTTTATTTCTCCTGACTCAGTAATGCTGCTACTTTTAATTTCAACAAAAAGCAGCTGTAAAGGATATTGATATGTACACATTTAGGGCTTTGGCCTCGTGTATGGATCACTGAGGTCATGGCAAGTAGATCACTGATACAAACAGGACTTACAAATAAATCACAGCACGTGAAAGTCCATGCATTGAAGAGATGCGAGTTGTGACAGTACAAAGTCTGTCAAATGATACAGATGATTATTGCTAATTAATAACATTCATTTTTGTTTATCACAATTAATTTCTGAAAGATAAAAGATGAAACTTTTTCCATTTAAAAAGTGGTGCATTATGTTGTAGCTATATATGAGTAGAAAAAAATTTAGAATCAGAAAGTTTTTATTTTCTTATACTTTCTTTATTACTTTCTTATGCTTTACTGCTTACTTATATACCATGTACATTCATATGCCATAGTTTGGATGACCCTGGTCTAATGACACGTTTTGTTGATTTTCTAAGTAAAAATAAGTTCACACATCCTCTACAGAGAACACATTCTGCACATTTTAATGCATAATTACTGTTTGTTTGCTTTATTTTATCTATTCAGAGAAACCTAAAATGGAGCCTGTGAAAAAGTTTGTATTTTATGTTTTATTTTTTCAAATATGGTAAAGTTTGTTTTCTGCAGAGGGTGTATTAAACTAAGAGAAACTTAGATGAAAACTTAAATGAAAACATAACATTTGACCAGAATTTTCCATACAATTCTATATCATATTTACAGTTAATGATTCCAGCTCATTTGTGATTGTTACAATGGAAGCTCTGAAAGGGAACTGGAGCTTTCCAAATTGATACGAGTTTGTTAGTTTGCTGCGCGTTGATTTATCCACGTTCTCCCGTGAGCACTGTTGAGCATAGTATGCTGAAGGTATTTGCTTTAGAGGCCGTTTAAAAGCTATGCTTCAGCGAGAGGTCTACAGTCACATATCGTAATGTACAGTGCGTGAGCAGCTGAGCTGCTGGTGAAACTAGGGAATGGATTAAAGATATTAAAAAACAATGTGTTAGTCTTTTATTAATTAAAATGCCATTAATACATCACTGGTAGTATTTTTGAAGGTTTTTAAAGTGACTCTCTTCTGATCCTCAGCACCTGATAAAAATCCTTCTGATGTTGAAGGGACCGGAACTGAACCAGACAACATGGTGATATCTTGGAATGTAAGATTATTATGCTGAAAACACTAAATTCATAAGTGCATTGAGTCAGATGTGTCTTTTTGGCGTCAGTAAAACCGGACTGATGTCTCTGTGTTTGAATAACAGGAGATGACAGGGCTGCAGTCTAACGGCCCTGGGCTTCAGTATAAGGTGAGCTGGAAACAGAAAGATACAGATGAAGACTGGACGTCCATCATTGTGGCTAACGTCTCGGAGTATGTAGTGACAGGGACGCCCACCTTTGTCCCATATGAGGTGATGGTGCAGGCCATTAATGATTATGGGTCCGGCCCCAAACCGGAAGTGGTGCTTGGATACTCAGGAGAAGACCGTGAGTCAGCTGTGCATTTCTACGTGACAAATGGCCCTCTTAAGTGCTAAATCTGTTTTTGAATATTTCAGATATTACAGACAGTTTAAGTGCAAAATGGACATGGTCAGTGATTGATTTCCATTGATTTCTTAGTGAAGACTCTTTTTTGAAAGAGTTTCAGCTTTATTAAGCCGTATAGTATGGCCGAAGTTAAATAACAGCCCTTTAGTTTAATATACAACATCTGATTGATTACATTACTCAGAGCTAAACAAGGCATTTATATGTTCTTTCTTGGTCTTTCAGGGCCAACAATGGCTCCAGAGAGTGTGAAGGTGCTTGTGCAGAACAGCACACTGGCTGAGGTTCACTGGGAGCCCATTCCTCCTTCTACAGTCAAAGGGAAAATGTTGGGATACAAGGTACGCCATGGAGTGAGACGGGAGATTCAAACAGTTGCTATACAGTTTTGGGATCTTTGGGATGTGTTGAATGTTATACAGTATGCTGTTGTTGCAGATTTAAAGGTGCAGTGTGTAAGATTTAGAGGGATCTATTAGCAGAAATGCAATATAGTATATAAAACCCTTGTTTTCATTAGTGTACAATCACCTGTAACTATGAATCATTGTGTTTTTGTTAGCTTAGAATGATCTCTTCACATTTACAAAGGGAGCAAGTTTTCGCATTTTTACCTTGAAGCAGCAACTTGAATGTGGTAGTGCTATAGCACTAGTTGGAAGATATAGAAAGAAGAAGAATCAGTGGTAGCTGCTGCTGCTGGCTAAGCATTCTGTGTTGTGAGAAGTTTGAGAACCCAAATTTTGACAAATGGAGGATCATACTTATCATTACTTAGCACAAGAAAAAGCAAGGGAGGGTGAATCCCCATCATCAAGGAAGTGAAAACATGAAGAAGAAAACCTGACACACATGGAAAGGAAAAAGTGATGGAGGGGTATTTAGTTAGTTGCAGTCTGCAACCTCACCGCTAGATGCCACTAAATACTACACACTGTACCTTTAACCTTAAAGACCCGCATCCTGAGGCTTATTATTCACTCACACAAAATTTCCTAGGAGTGAAATACAGCAGGTCTATGAATGTTAAGGGGTTGATAAATATATATAAACAGTTATATACAACAATTTGGGCGCCCCTGGTAAAATGACATGTTTTGTTGATTTTCAGCACAGTAGAGGATGTGTAGGCTTGCTTGCTTCAAGCAGAAACTGTCCAGAACTTCAGCAAAAATTCTCAGAGTTCTTTCCCCTCCGTTACTCAAAGTCTCCCCTCATATTACCATGATAAGATGAAGGCAAACCTGCAGATTTGCACTTAAAAAACCAACCAAACATGTAATTTGACTGAGGATGTTTAAGCTTGCATATGACTGTAGAGATGACTGTATTGTGTGTTTGGTGTGTGGTAGGTGTACTACTGGAAGGAGAAGAGTTTGCAGAAGGAGGAATCCAAGCCAGAAGAGCCTCAGAAGCTCATTTTCAGTGGGAATGAGACAGAGGGCCACCTCCCTGACCTGCACCCCTACAGCCAGTACAGCATCAATGTCAGGGCCTTCAATGGGAAGGGTGATGGACCTCCCAGTACAGACCAAAAATTCGAGACACCTGAGGGAGGTACGGTTTGGAAGGGTTTGCTAACTCAGCGATAGAAAACTGCTAGAACTTTATTTTAATAATGTCATTTAACTGGCGTTCAACAAAATATCAACTTAACTTTCCCCGAGCCTAAACCAAACACTTTCTCTAACCCCTAACCTCTACCTTAATCCTTAAGTGTAATATTAAAAAAATAGTGGGAAGACATTTTAGACAACAGATCTTTAGACAACTTACAGTGTCTATTTAGTCATACTGTGTCCTAAACAACACCTTAGTGAAGACCTGGATGTGGTTTGAGTAGGTTGAGGGAAGATTTTGGACGTGAATTTACAGAAACGATTTAGACTCTAGTGTTTATTAGCAATGCTAGCTGCGTAGCTTGAGCGCTTAACTATAGAAGCACAATTTGAACACCAAACATGTCTGGTTGACTACATCTGGGTTAGTTTACACAGTTGTGTAAATTTAAGTTTTTGCCAAACTATTCCTTCAAACCTAATCCTAATCCTACTGATTCTGTTGGCAATCAACTGAATTTCACCAGACATTTTGTTAATTGGAGCATTTTTAGACAAGCTGTAGATTAAGACCAAAATAAATTAGGACCAAACTGATCCTCATGAAGCTTATTGATTTTCATCATGTGTTTACTTTGCCAGGCAATTTTTAAATAATGCTATCTTCATATATTTATTCAACAAATTACATAATTACATAATCATTAAATTGAATTTCACTTTTTTATTTCTTTGTGTTGTCGTGGAAAGTTCCTGGACCTCCGACTTTCCTCAGAATCACAAATCCAAATTTGGAATCGTTCACAGTGGAGTGGGGCCCTCCTATGGATGATAACGGTCGCCTCACTGGCTACATTCTCAAATACCAGCCCAGTAAGTCTTAAGTTTGAGAACAGCAACTCTGAAATCAATTTTATAGTTTAAACAATGTTTCAGATGGTGCAGTTTTCTAACTGAGGAGGACTGTTTCAATTTTAAATCGTATTTGAGTGATAAATGGTTGAATAGCAAATTGGGCATAATGGTCTTTACATTGTGTATTTCTGCTGCCACACTGTGTTTGTATTTCTTTTCCTCCTTTTCTGTTCCTTCTCAGTTAATAGCACAGAGGAGCTGAAAGAGATGACCCTTCTGGCTAACGAGACCAGTGTCGTTCTTGAAAATCTCAAGTACAGCACGCGCTACAAGTTCTACCTTAATGCCATGACAATCAAGGGCTCAGGGCCTATTGTGACAACTGCGATCACAATCATGGATGAAGGTGAGGCTCAGCTGTGAGGTGACACTCTTCTAAATCAATTACACTTTTTTAGAAAACTATTGTAGAAAGCAGCCGTTACTTCATGCATGATAGACCAGAATGGAATTTATTTCAACATCCACCTTTTCTAAAGCCTTGACTGGAACTAGCCATCTAGATTTGGAACTTGGATTTCAGAAAGCCAGTTTGTGAGTTAGCAGGGTTCTTAAAGTAGCAGCAATGCTGCCAGACCGTCCTCTCTAAATTTGAATGGCTAAGATGTACAAAGTCATTCAGAATGATTTGATGTGAAATGATTACCAATTCAGAATTGTTCAGTGCAGTGATGACTGGAATCAGACATCTGAAGCCTTTAATGCTTCCAAATCTTTCCTTATCGGAATTAACCTACATGTAGCTGCATGACAGAGAAGTACTTGCAGAGCCTTGTAAGGCAAAATAATACTTTTCTCAGATTTACCAGTATTTTACTATTACCAATATTATATATAAAAACTCATAAGACATGTGTAGGTTCACTGATCATTTTGGATAGTAAATAATCCTGCTAGAAAAGCCAGCATGATCAGCTCACCAACAAATCCAGCATATGTTGTGTTTTAGACACTGGTATGATTGTCAGCAGCAATGGAAGTTGCTATGCTGATCACCAGCAAAACCAGCGTATTGTCACTGTCCACAGAAAAACAAGTATTTTTAAAATGGTGACTTTACAGGAGGGTAAAACGTTCTTTACTTTCAGTGTAAGTTAATGTAAAGAGATTTGACCAAGCAGTTCATTTCTGTTGGTCCAATCACTATGAAATTTTCACACACTGTTAAGGACAGTTTTTGGAGAGTGACTATATATTGTGTTTTGGATGCTGATGTTTCTAGCTAAACCAATTCTACACCAGCATAGTTCATGCAGGTCTGTGCTGTTTTTTTCTCAGCAAAGAAAATGCATATATATGTTGGTTTTATTGATCTTAGGTTGTTGGGAAGTTTCTCTACAATGCACCATTTCACATAAAGTTGAATGACTTAACATCTCAATAATGAGCTGTGCAGAAATTTTGAAAAAACCTGTGGAACTGAAGGATGTCATTTTCTTCTCGGTGAACTTCTGTATGAGGCATTGATGTTCTTCAGCATCTTTGGTACAGTTCCCTAACAAAACACACCCTTTGCCTTTTGCTGTATTTTGTTACAGTAAGGTAGCCCCTGATCCTGATAGTTCTTTTCTTTGAAAGAGTTTCACCTAACAACACACAAAATTTGAAAGCAGAAGAGCCACAACATGATTTACTTTACTTGCCTTGTTCATTTTGGGAATGTGTGGTCCAGTAGAGTATCTGTCATTCCATCTGTGCTCTAATAACCTTAACTTTTGTGTCACAGTCCTATTTATTTTCTCCCTGTGTTATCTTTTGCCCAGCTTTTGGGCCTATTGTGCCCATATCCTGAGATTAACAGGTATTACATGACCTTTACCAGATTAATGTCAAACATTTCAGAATTTGGTTTCTTGTGATAAAACCAGCACTGTGCTTGACTGGATCTCCCTCCACTAGCTTTACCTACACAGTTATCTAGAACCTCTCTGTCATATGGTGGTACTTGCCTGGTGCTTACAGTCGCTCTGTGTGTCTCTCTTCTCTCCTGTCTCTTTTGTGAAGCGTTAATACGGCAGCCCGCAGTAGAGGCGGGTAAAGGTAACTCCTGAAATCAGGCATGCATGTTGCCCAGGCCTTGGCCCACTGTCCACTAGCACCATGAAGACGTAGACACACACGCATGAACCTCCCTGAGCAAAACACCTTCCACAGATCTGCTCCATACTTGTCATGGAGGAGTATCACTGACAGGGTCAAAGTTCCATCCCACTGCTTTCATTAGGGTGCAGCTCTGAAATATGTTGATCATCAAGCTTAGGGTTCAGATATATATTATAGTTTGTTTGCTGGCCTGATGTCCTTAAAGGAATATTCCTGCATTTTTTCAAAAAACCTCTGTCTGCCACATCTGTAGCATACAGTTGTTTACTACAGACAATATTTTGACTTGAAATACACTAATAATAGAACCCAGTGGAGAGATGCTGAATTCTGTCAGCAAACATTGCTTAAAGTGAGCTGTAAATCAGTACAATCATTTATTCAGAGACTGAAAACTAGTTTTCCAGAGGGGAGAATTTGTGGTGATACATTACAAAAGTTTTCATATGCTCTGCCTCATCAGTGATCATACATCACATACAACCTTAACCATGACTGAAAGTGCTTCATTACTGTATTGCTTCTGCATTCAAAAGGGTTTTTTCTTCATCACTTTAGTTGTTTTCCTTGGTCTTCCAGGTCTTTTGGTGTTGCTGAGCTCACCAAGGCATTCTTTCTTTTAAAGAATGCACCAAATTGTTGATTTGGCCACTTTCAGCTGTCTCTCTGTAGGTTTATTTAGCTTTTTCAGCCTGATAATGGCCCCCTTCACCTGTATCGGCACCTCTCTAGGCCCATGAACAGCTACCAAATGTATATTTAGCACTTGGAAATAACTCCTGACATTTTCTCCTTAATCTGAAATGAAATAATGAGGAAGGCCACACTTGGCATGAAACTGCTTTTCAGTCAGTTGTTCAATTACTTTTGAGCCTGTGAAAATGGAGGGACTGTGTAAAAATGGCTGTCATTCCTAAACAGTTAATGCATATTTGTGTTAAACCCCTTTAAATTAAAGCTGAACATCAGCACTTCAATCACATCTTGACTGCTTCATTTCAAATCCATTGTGGTGGTGTGCAGTGGAAAAATAAAAAAATGTGTCACTGTCCAAATACATATGGACCTGACTGTGTTTGATGTTTAATCCCCGTCTCTCATTTGCCAAGGCGTGGTCTGCATTTGCAAACAACAGCTAGAAACTGTGGTCGTGGTCCCTGTTTGTGCTTTGGATTCCAAACTCTCCATCAGATTCGGTGCACTGCCGTTAGGAGCCAGGAGCACAGAAAAATACTGACTCAGAGCGCTGGAGAAGACTCCCTTAGCCTATCCGGTAGCCGTAGCTAGACAAAATTAACACTGCTTTAAAACTGTTTGCCACATTTTCTATTGTTAGGTGCCAGGTTTAGTTAACATGGTTAATGCAACATAGCTAGTCAATACATTTAATTTTATATCTTTTTGAGAGAACTTATGTTAAATATTAAATGTTCGGTGGACAAAATGTATGTTTACATTGGACATAGACCAGTTTTGGTGAGCATTGTATCCTATAGTGTTTGATTTCTTCATCTAGATTGTGGATGACCACAGACAAAGAAGCAGTAGATCTGCTGTGGAAGAGTGGAACTTCAGTATCAGTATCAGAAGAGTATCAGTGGCATTGTGTGAACAGGACAAGACCACAGAGTCTGATGTTAGACTTGGCCGCTGTGTTAGAGTGATGAATAATGGCACCACCCTCCCTGTTGGCACAATCACACCGCACCCCTGATTATATGCTTATATGGTATTACAATCGTTAACTGATGGAATTCAGCATCTGTCCACTGGCTTCTGTTATTATTCTTAATAGGATGAAATAGAGTTTAGACTGAAAAACACTGGAGTATTCCTTTATGAAATAAGATGAATGCTCCAGTACCTTTCTCTCTGCTCTCTCTCTCTCTCTCTGTCTCTCTCTCTTCCTTTGCTTTTTTTTACTCCTCTTGCTATCCTACTCATCATAACTGATCCATCCCACACTAGCAACTTGCATGATGCTGCATGCATAACTTCTTGAACTGCGTGACTCTCTCTCTCCCCCCTCTCTCTCTCTCCCTCTCTCTTTCTGTCTGTCACTGTCTCAGTATTGTATGATGTTATGATGTTGTGCGTCTCACTCTTCTCCATGTTCTTTCAGGCACAGAATCCCCTTCACATCCAATCTCCCCTGTCACACAGTCTGTGCAGCCCCCATTTTACAAGGGTATAAAACAGCCACCTCTCTCACCCCCTTTCCACAGAACTATCTGTGTATATGAGTGTGATTTTGTGTGTCTGTGAGTGTGAAATAGTTTTTGACTATTCATTTTGCACAGATGCAAGATACTGTACAACAGAGTAACAAACTGAATGATAAAAAAGCATTGTGCAAGTCCTAACTGTCTGGATTCTGTCCTGTACAGAATGTTCTTGTGGGACGGGTTTAGACAGACTCTGATGTGTGTCTGAGCACAAAACATCTCTTCATTTTCCTTGGTTGTTCCACAGTAATCTTTAGCCCTCTTCCTGTGTGTGTGTGTCTATGTTGTGGGCAGCGCGTCCAGTAGGCCCAGTGTTCGGGAGTGTCAACTTTTCCCTGGAGGAAGACCACGCCATACTAAACTGGGAATACACGGGCGACGAAAACAATGTATATGTGGAATATATGTTAGAGAACAGTAAGCTATGCCTTGTTTCTGGTCATTCCCCTGCATTCTGAGATTAGCAGACGTCATATGACACCATATTACTTCGGATCAGAATAGCCACTTCACTTGTGGTTATTAGTGCTTAGTCTTTTAATGCCTTTTAATGAATATAGAAAAAAAAAAACATGAATCAGCTTCTTCAACACGTGCATATTTCTAGAGCTGTTCTATAAGCCACCTAGAGTCCATCCCAATGTTTAAAAACTTACTGGCAACACTTTGTTTGGAGGTCCTTTGTTAAAGTAATAGTTTGGAGAGAAATCAGCTTTACCTACAGCACTGTGCAAAAGTCATGTAATTGATTTCAGTCAGAATGACGATTATTTACAAGTTATTTATTTTTTGTAGTAGTAATACTGAGAAGATTAGATATAATAATCCACTTGCGTTCAAAACGGACAAGTCAAAGAAAAACAAGTGGAAAAAAAAGTGATTAGAAGATATAGAGAAGGGGGCTCCCGTGTGACGCAACCATCCAAGCGTTGACCCTATCAACAGGAGATCGCAAGTTTGATTCCTGCTGATGCTACAGCCATCCGTGGCCGGGAGTCCTAGAGAGCACAATTGGCCTCGCTCTCTGGGTGGGTAGGATGGCCCCTCCTTCTCCCCCCATCACTCAATGCGATGCTAGTCGGCGCAGGCGTCTGTTAGCTGACGTAACAGATCTGGCAGTTGGCGCTTTCCTCCGAGCGCGTTCGGCTGTCCAATGACGTTGCATGAGCGGCAGTTCGAAAAGATGTGGCGGCGCTTCACAGGTCTCGGAGGAAGCCTGTGTTAGCCTTCACCCTCCCAGTGTTGATAATATCGTGTGATTGAGTCCTAACTACTCGGTGGAATTGGAGACGACTAAATTGGGGGAAAATTGGGTAAAAATTAAAAAAAAAAACGATACAGAGAAAATGGGACTCATAACAACTGTGCAAGATCTCGTAAACCACCAACACTGTTCCTTCTGATAAACAGTACTTAAAGCTTTCATCTTTGAGAGAGAGGAGACAATCAAGCTCTACTCTTGATTCAGATCTGAAAAAATCCACAGGTGCTTCTGTCCATCCTTCCACTGTGAGAAGACAACTCAACACTATGAGTCTGAATGGATGTGAAGCTGTAAAGAAGCCATTACTCAAAAAAGAAAACAGACAAAAGAAAACATTTTAACAAACTTTAAACACTAAAAAAGCAGTTATTTCTCACAAAACAATGGACTGACCACCCCAGAGCCCAGACCTCAACATCACTGAATGTGTTTGGGATTAGTTGAATGGTGAGAAGCAGAAAATGCAACCAACTTCTAAGACTGAACTTTGCAGGTGTAAAAAATATCCCTGCAGATTTCTGTAATAAGCTGAAAGCAAGTCTCCTGAAAAGAATGGAAGCTGTAATAAAGGCAAAGAGTGAACACACTAAATAACAAATAATATTATATTTAGTTGTTGGGACTTTTGTGGGATATTCTGTTGTTTTTTTTTTTTCTGAATAACATTTAATGGCCATTTTGACTGGAAATTAAGTGAAACGTTTGCACAGTATTGTAATTTCCCCCAAACTTAGCAGACTGTGAGTTATTAAGTTATGTCAAACTGGCTTGCTTATGTAGTTTCAGACATACTCTATCTATAAAAATGGACAAAAGCACAGACAAATGTAAAAGGTCAAATCTGACACTATCACTCTTAATATTTGCATGATTCAAATCATCATAACCTCCCTACGTCCACCTGCCCACCTCTTCCCAGGTAAAGAAGGCTGGAAAAGGGAGGCTGTAAATGGCTCCCGGACATATCAGTTAAAGAGTCTAAAGGCGGGCATGACCTATAAGGTTCGCGTGGTGGCCGATGACCACACAGATGCAACGGTCCAACGCACAGAGGAACTGCTGATTGCGGTTCCAGGTGAGGCAGCACGAATGCAGAAAATGTTCCACATTGATGTGGTCCATGGGACTCCGTCCAGTCGACATCTATGAGATCTTCTGTAGTTCACCTGTAGATTAGACTAGAACAGTGGTCCCCAGTCCTGGTCCTGGAGTACTGTAATGCACATTGTAGAGTTTTCACCCAGTTCACTTCAGGAAGGGCTTGTTTATTAGTTCTTTGGTAAGATCAGGTGTGTTATGAACAGGAAAAACTCTATAATGTGAGGGTTAGTAGTACTTCAGGACCAGAATTGAGAACCACTCCACTAGAATATCATGACCCAGAAGCATGCTGGAGGGCCAGGGACCATAATTGAAAAGTAGAGGCATGGCATGCAGTTTTCTGTATTTGTTTTATTGCTGTTATTTTTGTGTCTTTTTGTTTTTGTGTCTTTACTGCACATGTTATTAATAGAGAGAAATTCATCCATGTCATAGCAGTGTACTGCTCGTCTCAGTTTTTCTTTCTTTTTTGTGGTGACGTGGTGCTCACTGGTCATATTCTCTTTGCAGGTTTATACACTACTTATGATCTTCAGTGTTTCAGTACACACAGTGGCATGTGTATGTGTAGCGATTCTGCACATGCTTAACCTCATTTGGAGTTTTGTGTGTATGTGGACTGCAAAATAGAGAACTAAGTTACTGAGGGTGTTTTAACTGCTGTGTTCTCTATCTTTGTGTGTGTATGTGCAGCTATGACCAGCAGGCAGGTTGATATAGCTACTCAAGGTTGGTTCATCGGTCTAATGTGTGCCATCGCTCTGTTGATCCTGGTCCTCCTCATCGTCTGCTTCATCAAGAGGAACAAAGGGGGCAAATATCCTGGTGAGAGTGTGTGTGTGTGTGTGTGTCTGTCTGTGTGTGTGTGTGTGTGTGTGTGTGTGTGTGTGTGTGTGTGTGTGTGTGTGAGTGTTTATAGGCATAAAGGAAACTGTTGCTCAAAAATGATATAGCCATAGGTAAAAGTTTGGGCTCCCCAAAACTACTGTTTAATTACTGAATTTAATATATTGGGTTTTTCCAAAAAAATATTCAAATAAATAGAAATTGTGCAGGAAAATTAGCAGAAAAAATGGCATATTTAAATCTGTTTACTGTAGAGGATGTTATCAGCAAAACGTCATTTAGGCGAGAGTGTTTCAACTTTTGCATGCAACTGTATTACACAACGCACTGTTGAATTCATTCTTTCACTGAATATTGGTATTTGTGAAATAGCCATTTTCACAAGTTTCCGCTGGCAGAACTTGTAGTCTGGCACACTATATGCAGTGTTTAAGCCTCAGGCTTAAAAAAAATGAATGTGCCTCTCTTCTTGGAAAATTAAAATCCTGAAGCTTAATTCATAAAAAATAATTGCATTTAAATCTCAATCGTAATATTCGTCGGAAAAATGGGATATTTTCCCTGAATTGGTCTAAATAGTGCTAAAGACAATAAAGAAGCAAACTTAAGCAAAAATATCTTGGCATTTTTTGGGGTAAGTAGAGGATTTGGGGTAAGAGAAAAACTGAATCTAATGTTTCTCACTATTCCTTTATTTTTATGTAAAAATTATGTAAAAAATGTCTGATGTTGTCAACCATGGACCTAATTATACTCCGTATGTATGTATATATATATATATATATATATATATATATATATATATATATATATAAATTCACTGGTCTCTTTTGCACACAGTGAAAGAAAAAGAAGAGGCTCATCAGGACCCAGAGATCCAGCCTATGAAAGAGGACGATGGCACATTTGGAGAATACAGGTAAGAGTAACGGTTAAGCATCCATGAGTATGTACTAAAGAGACGTTATAATTAGACCAAACAAGCCACACTTAAACCGTGTCTGGATAGTTTCTGAATTATTTTATACAAAACAGCTGTTCAGAGCCCACCATTTGTGACCAAACACAACCTGGATTTGAATACATTCAGAAATTTGGTGATTTTGGAAATTTGGCATTTTGAGCCAAACTAAATATGTCACTAAATGTCAGTGGTGAATTCCAGTGAAACATTAGGATTTTTACTTGTCTTGGATTGGTCTTAATCTTGGTCTGGAAAATTAGCCCTATATGTCCAGAGTTTTGTAGACACCTGCTCGTCTAGCATGTCTAATGAAATCATGGGTATTAATAGGGAGTTTATACTCCTTTTGCTGCATTAACCGCCTCTACTGTTCTGTGAAGGCTTTACACTAGGTGTTGGAAAGTTGCAATCAGAATTTGATTGCATTCTGACACAAGAGCATTAGTGAGGTCCTCTAGCCCAGTGGTTCTCAAGACCAGTTCTGGGGACCCCCTACTCTTCAGTTTCACATGATCCCTTCTCCGGTGCACCTGTTTATCCAGTCCATCAGGTGTTTGTTGTCTTCAAGAGCTACATTTTAAACAGTGCAGGGCAGGAGGTCCTCAGGACCGGAGAGACTTGTCCAAAAATGCCACCCCCTAGGTTGCATGATGAACTGTATACTGAATACCATAGTGCAATATCATAGAAGTAGAGAAAGAAATATATTGTTGCTGTCAAACCTGCCACACTATATGGCCAAAAATATGTGGACGCCCCTCATAATGATTGAGTTGGAGTGTTTTAGCCACATCCATTCACTGAGTTCTACTCAAGAGCTCAGTGAATTGAAATGTGGCACTGTCATAGGATGAGCCCTTTTTAGACAGGAGTGATAAATCACATTTCCTAGTAGAGTGTAGGCTTTTATATCTGCAAAAGGGGGCCAATTTCATATTAATGATCATGGTTTAGGAATGGGATGTCCAACAAGCTCCTATAGAAGTGATAGTCAGGTGTCCACATACTTTTGGCCATAAAGTGTATCACCAACATAGTAACTTCACAGGAGAAGGAATTAACATTCTTAACTTTCCGTGTTAAATAATAATCATAATTCATCATGAAATTTTCACACAGTGTAAAGCGTAGTGGCATTTTGAAAGTATGTTAAAAAATAAAATGACCAAAATGGAGATAGGAGATAAATTAAGATATAGTGTTTCATAGATGTATTTTTAGCGTGCACATCAACATTATTAACTACTTGCTTTTGTGTGAAGGGTAATAGTGTTCGAGTGGTTTTTGAGTGAATTGTAAACTGTGTAAACAAAGTTGCCCATTGATGCAGACCAGTTCCGCCTACCCACATCCTTTACAAAGTCAGTGTAAAGGCACAACTTTCTTCACAGCCCAGTAGTCATTACAATTTAGAAAAGCTGTAAAAGCATAATGTGTTTTTGCTTGCCCTCTCAGGTTTTTGGACTTAAATAATTTTCCTCTGAGCAGAAGCTTTTCCATCTTGACTCCATTTTCAAACAACTTGAGGCAAGCAGGACTGTTCCTGAACCATCCTGTCTGTGCTCTGTGTATAACAAACCTAACCAGAGCTCACTATGATGTGATCTGATGAAAATGCTTTTTAACTGCCCTCTGATATTTTTTATTAAGTTATTAAGCCCATTAATGCAACACCCTGCTGAGATTAAGAATGAGATTGGGCACTGAGGTGCAAGCTGATTTCTGTGTTTTACTTTGAGTTATATTTTTGTAATCCAGTCAGATTATTCATGGAATGAGAGGAGTAGAATCTCCTCAGTTTTACAGTGCAACAGATTATTTTCGCAAATGAAAATATATTAAATCTAGTCTATGTATACATATACTTCTCATTTTTAGATTGTACTGAGAACATCAAAAGATTATTCTATAACTTATTTCTAGACTTTTCTACGTGTATTGAATAACTCCATTTAGTTAAAGTGTCACATTCTATTATTTATTCTATTATTTAGTTTGTTTTAAGAAATAATTCTTGAAACAATCAACATTAACTCACAAGATACACAACATTATTTCACAGGACACAATGACTTAAAACAAGTAAAAATGTCTAGAAATAGGTTTAACATCTCATAATAATGCTTAAATGGAAATATTAGATATATACACCAGAATTCAGATGATTTCACTTTTTTTTCTCATTGCTTTTGTTAAATCTCACATTTCTGTGTTTTGTGTGTTGGGGATTGGCAGTGTCACTATTCGTCAGTTGTCCATGACGCAGGATGATTTATTTCAATTCACTGGTCATTAGAAACTGAATGTTTTATGTTTTAGAAATATATCCTATTTATTAGTCCTCATGTGTTCTTTGTATTTGGGGGAACGTTTGGGGTAGGTCCTTGGAGAGGTAAGAGGGAAACTGCAAGTCTTGCACGCCAAAACTCCCTTGTTTTGTATTTTAAAAAAGAACAAATCCATATGAAGGAAAGTGCTACCTGCTAACTGCATCTAATTCTCCTCAGTTTAAATCCCCAGTCCTCTCTTTGATTTTGCATATATGACTAATGTATGTCTGCCTTTTTGTATGTCTTGCGTTTACTTTCTTAAATAATGATTTTACTAGTTTCCAAAGTTCTATTAGTTGCATTTTGAGGTCCCCAAACCCCGAGTGCACGGCTGTCCTATCGGGGAAATAAGCATATGAATAGTGAAACTACACATGCACTGAAATGCATGTACTTTGTAACAGTGAAATATCTTATCTTAATTCAAAGTTATTAACGTATTGCTTACTGTGCCTCATCTCAGTGACACGGAGGACCACAAGCCCCTGAAGGGCAGCCGGACACCTTCCAATGGCACAGTGAAGAAGGACGACAGCGATGACAGCCTGGTGGACTACGGCGAGGGAGGCGACGGGCAGTTCAATGAGGACGGCTCCTTCATCGGTCAGTACAGTGGCAAGAAGGAGAAGGACACGGCAGAGGGCAACGAAAGCTCAGAGGCTCCGTCTCCCGTCAATGCTATGAACTCCTTCGTGTAATGGGCCCTTGTGACCTTTGCCCCCCGCCAACACCCGCCCCCAATCTCGTCACACTTCTTTCATCTGGAGAGCAGACTGTCCCTACTTCACTGTGACCCTCCTGACATCACATGGCTACAACAAACAAAACCGACAACAGCATCCCAGTCATAACCATGAGAGAGAGCAAGAGTGAGAGAGAAAGAGAGAGAGAAAGAGAAAAAGAGGTAGGGAGAGAAAGCAATACACACAGGAGGAATGTACCGTAACTAGCAGACCAGCCCTGGTCTCCTCGGCTAGTCAGAGCGAATGCAGGAGGACCTTAATGTGATAACTGCTGTATTATCTTTTTTGCAAACGTATATATGGAATATATAGAAATTATATACACATATATAAGAATTCTATTTTCTGAACATGGGTCTGTTTGCAGTCAGTAGGCATTGAATCCCGCCATCTCGCCCCCTCCCCCTGCCCCCTGCCCGTGCTATGGACTCACTGCATGGACTCATTGCTACCACACACCCCATCTGCTCCGTGAATCAGTGGATCAGCGTGAGCTAGCGTTTGAGAAGCTTTGGACCAGTGTCTGGTGGACGCTCACGCTTCGCATCACAGCTGCCTTCTTCAGTTCCCTCGTCAAAAGTGTTGAAACCGGTATTATTCACGCTAAAAGGCACCAATGTCTTTGTGGACATTGTTGTGGAACATGTGACTCCGTGTTAAAGTTCTTATTATTTGACGTCTTTTGTGCCAGGCAAGAGCTGCAGCAAAAGATTACGGACTGGATACCAGAGAAGTGGGGTAGAAAACTCTCGACACACCTACAGACATGCTTTCAATGCTCAAACTGTCCCGAATTGTCTTAGACCATAACTACATCTGTTTTTTTTTAGCTCTCTTAAGGGTTATTTTTGTTTGCACTTGCCATTTTGTAGATGTTGCATCAGTTTGCATTGGATAACTCTCTCTCTTTTTTGCTGTTGCACTACTGAAGGAAAAACGTCAAGGTTGGTTGTATCTCACACCATTACTGTCACTGCTGGCACTCAACATTATGGAGTAAAGCCCCCATTGGTCCATAACACAGCTGCTAAGTGGCTGCTGGTTATACGCCCTCTGTGTTGGTGGGTAAAAAGCTGGGTGCTCTATGTAGTCTTAAGCACGGTTCCTCAGTGCCTTGGTAGAAGTGTTCTGTGGTCACACACCAACTACTGCACCCTCCACAGCCTGTCCCTATCTTCAGAGCACTAGGTTTTCTCACAGCCTTGCAGATAGCTCTAGGGTTGAGAAGGGAGGAGCTTTCAGAGCCCAGCATGGACTAACCACCCAATCATCTGATTCGCACACCTGCTACACGAGATGATGTCATCCATCTTCTGTCACCGGGTGCGGACAGTGTCCGCCTGGCACATGTGCTGGTTGTCACTTTATAGGTGGCACATGAACCAAGGTATGCCGAAAAATCTGGCTTAGTTGGCAAAGTTGCATCTTATCATAACAAACACCAGTTCTGACAAAGAATGGTACATTTTAAAGGTGTTTCTGAACCTACAAATTTGTCCACAACAGCTACAAAAGCTTCTAGTGACATTTTAACAGATCTGTCATTATGACTGGGTGAGCTCTAGCTAGCTTTTTTAAGTAGCAGCAAGGGCGGAGAAACCCATTTAAATGAACTGTCAGCACTTTTGCCGACTCTTACGTAAATTGTTAAGTGGCCTTTCGACGGGTTAGATAAAGATCATTGCACTGCAAAAAATAGTACCATGTCAAGTGAAATGATCTAAATCTAGTTGATATGTCTAATATTTCTCATTTTAAGATTGTTTTAAGCTTATTATAGGATTATTTAACTTATTTCTAGATTTTGTACTTGTTTAAGTGATTTAATTAAGTCAAATTCTCTTACCATATTGGCAGATAATTGTATCTGTTTCAAGCATATTTCTCAAAATGAGCAAAATTATCTGCCAATATAGTGAGATAATTTGACTTGTTAAAATCACTTAAAACAAATAAAAAATGTCTAGAAATAAGTTAAATAATCCTATAATAAGCTTAGCATTTATAACAAATCTAACATCCTATACATTTTTGTATCCCACCAACCCACCTCCTCCCTCTTCCTCAGTTCTGTCTGTCAGTCATACCTCCGTTCATCTAATGTGAGGGTCTCACCCTCCTTCACTCATACAGTCTCTTCTTATACTACCACCATAAATTGAAATCACAACTGCTACATGAGCTGGGTGGATACTAGAATGCACCAACTGAATCATCTCACACCACAGGGAGGGGCTGTACATTATCCGGAGAAGCAGCTAAAATTACTGCCAATCTACTCTCGCAGGTAAACTGCCATAGTTACTGACCAGTAGCAGGTGGTCCTTCACACTGGGGACAAATGGGGGATGTTATAATAAATAAGGAATGTGGAGCTTGCAGTAACCTGTTGTTAGAAATCTCAGTGTATGTGAGAACGAGTAGGAGGAAAAAAACAAACACCCTTTTCACACATAACCATGTTTTTTATTGCATGTTAATGAGTATTGCAAGCTGTCGAGTCGTAGTGCAATGGAAAGCTCACAAAACACACACAGTGCGCAGTGCTGCTGTCATCAAGTGTGGTTGGAATGTGTGTGCACGAGTGTTTGAGTGTGCGAGTGTGTCTGTGTGTGTATTTATGTGAACATGCATGTACAGATGTGCATGTTTGTGTATGTGAGTGTGTGCGTGTGTATGTTAATAGACCTCAATTCCAGAAAAGTTGGAACAGCATGCAAATAAAAACAGAAAGCAGTGATCTGTAAATCCACTTTGACCTTAAACAGTGCAAAGAAAAGATATTTAATGTCTTACCTTATCAACTTCACTGTTTTTGTAAATGCATCTTCATTTTATCATTATTCCCTGCAGCATGTTCCAAAAAAGTTGAGACGGGGGCAATTTAAGACTGGCAACATTGTCAAAATGCTCAAAAAACATCTTAAACAGGTGATGCAATCATGCTTTGGGAGCATTTAGGAAAGGCCTAGTCCTTTATGAGCAAGGTTGGGTTGAGGCTCACCAAAAGATGCATCAGTGCAGTGCAATCTAGTAGTTGAAGAACAACATTCTTCAACAAGCAATTGCAAGGATTTTAGGTATTAGGTATTAGGTATTTAGGTATTAGGTATTTTTACCTAAATGCATTATACTATCAAAAGATTCAAGGAATCCAGAGAAATCTCTGTGCACAAAGGGCAAGGCTGAAATCCACAACTGAACGCCCATGACCTTCGATACCTCAGATGGTACTGCATACTGTGATGGATATCAACGCATTGGCTCGAGTTTACTTTGACAAACTGCTGTCAGTAAACACTGTTCGTTGCTGCATCCAAGTTAAGCAGGTTAAGACTGTACTATGCACAACCGAAGCCATATGTCAACAATGTCCAGAAATGTGCTGGCTTCACTGGACTGGAGCTCATCTGACATAGACTAATAGATTATGAAAACGTGTGTAGTGATAGAGTCAACATTGTTTGTGGAAGTAATGAAGGCAGTGTTCCAAAGAAAGAGTTCAAAAGAAAACAGATCACACTGATTGTTACCAGCGTAAAGTTCAAAAGCCAGTGTCTGTCACAGACACAGTGTATTCATGCCCATGGCGTAGATAACTTGCACATCTGTGAAGGCACCATTTAAACTGAAAGATATGCACACATTTTGCTGCCTTCTAGATGACATCTTTTTCAAGGACAGCCATGCTTATTTCAACAAGACATAACAAAAACATTCTGCACGTTACAACAGCTTGGCTGCATAATAAGAGAGTGTGGATGCTAGACTGGTCCGACTACAGTACAGACCTGTCTCCCACTGAAAACATAGGGCGCATTATGAAGCACAAAATACGACATTGAAGGCCCTGTACGGTTGTGCAGCTTAAGATTTGTAGAACAGAAGAATGGCAAAAAAGACTGATTGGTATCTTCAGTCCTTCAAACATTCATTAAGTGCTGCTAAAAGGAAAGGTGATGTAACAAAGTGGTAAACAAGCTCCTGTTTTAACTTTTATTGCAACTTGTTGCAGGCATCAGATTTAGAATGAGTGTATATTTACAAAAAAACAATAAAGTTCATAAGCTCAAACATCAAATATCATGTTTTTGTACTGTTTTCAATTTAATACAGGTCAAATAGAATTAACTAATCACTGCTTTTTATTCTTATTAGCATTTCACGTGCGGTCGCAACTTTTTTGGAACTGAAGTTTGTATAAAGTAAATGTGTGTGTGTGTGGGCGTGTATGCATGGTAGCGGTCTGCTTGGGCTTGTTTGTCCTTTTTTGGAAGAGCCCTAGAACTCATGATATAGCTCATCATAACTTGCATCAAGTTTTTTAGTTTGGAATCGTCTGCTTTTTAATGTGTAGATATTGCGTTGCTTTGTAAATATCCACGCCACAAGAGTTTCAAACCCATGGGATTTGATGAGTTGCTCTTAAGTGCTGATACAGGACCAGTGTCCCCTATCCAGCTTTTTTTCTCAGCTATTGGAAAACGTACAGCAAAACTTAACTTTGATCAGCATAAAAGTGTGACTTCCACCTGCACGTTAGTGTGTAGGAGGTTGCTGCTGGCTAGTATAATGTGTTATGTCTGACACTTTGCAAATCAACACTCCTTTTGCTGTGAACGTTGTTTTAGGTTCCTCTGGCTAGATGCCCTCTCAGCCCAGTCTTTCCCCAGTCTATCTAGCTGGTGAAGGTTGAGTCAGGTGATCATCTGCCCTCAGTCTGTCTCTTGCAGTTCATGCACTTTTTCACTCGTCGTAAAAGATATGAGAAAACAAAACAATGCTGCAAACATTGCAGTTCCTCAAAGACTACAGCTACACCAGTGTGTGTGCAGATAATCTGGGGCACATGTTTTTGTGACTGATGATGAGATATGATAGAATATGATATATAACATTCTGGTCAATGTTGAAGCGCCGTGGAAAAAAGCATGAAAGGCTGTAAAATGGTTTACTCTCTATAATTGCTAAATATTTTGTATTTTAACTGAAGAAAAAAACAAAATAAATGTTGGTTTCAGGATTTCACTACCAAACTCTTTGTTTTTCAATTTATTCTGCTTTGCTCATTTCGTTTATGACAGTCATCAGTAAAGTCAACAGAGTGTTACAGAATAGCATTAAGAACATTTTTAGATTCAGACCCCTACTGGAATTGCAGCATTTCACCCAATATAACTTGAATAGCTCCTTCACATAACTCTAAGCAACTGGGTTTTATGAAAGCTGCACATAATGCAGTATATCAAATGTAAGGTTTATTAGGGCTTAATAAACTTAGAGCAACTTAGTAAAGTTTCTAAGTAACAACACAAATTTCAACAGTGTCAGAAACATTATTCTGCAATATGTTGGTCAGTTCCACAATTATTGGCACCCCTAATAAAAATGGGTGTAAATTGTCACATAAAATGTTTTTGCGCTTAATTAGCTGAATCTCACCCTGAAAATATGGAAATTATGAATATGAATTTCCAAGGATGCCTTTAATTATGACACAGGGTTTTGTTAAAAAGATTTTTTATAGGAAATTTTGTTTTCTTAGACCAATTTGCTAAAATAAAAGGTGACACCAAAGGTGCCAATAATTGTGGATCTGACTATATTTTCAGTTTGACAATCCTTTCAGAATGATATCTATTAGCATGATGAAGGTTAGCTTGCACTTATTATAGGCCTAAAGATCCTAAAGACGTCCAAAATGCTACTGTGTTTGTGTATCTACACAGCAGTTTACAGTAACATTTAGCACAAGTTAAACCTAATAAACACACGTGCCTATGCAGACACACACCTCACTACCCCGCATCTTATGACACCTTTACCCACAGTTCTGTGTGGCTGACTAGCCATCACTCAGCCTGTTTATCTGTTTGACAGCGATTTAGAGGATTAGCATTTATTCTGATTATTAGGCTCAGCAGCTGCCCTTATATCATGCTTTTCACAAAGAACAGCATAAAAGTCTATTTCTGATTATCAGCTCTGCATCACTGGAAGTGTAAAATTTGTTAAAGAAATTTCTGCATTGAGCCACATCCTGACTGGATGCTAATGGATGTGATACAAAACAGGAGTGGACTAAATCAGCCACTGCAGATGTTTAATCCTCAATCCTCTGGATTTACACTGATTTGTGTGTGTGTGTCTGTGTGTGTGTGTGTGTGTGTGTGTGTGTGTGTGTGTGCGTTCAGCTCTTTGTGGGGACCAAATGTCCCCAGGATAATGGAAATCATGAACATTGCAATGGTGATGATGGTACAATAGTGGTAAATCTGCCAATCATTTTTTTACATTTGCAATGGTGATGATGGTACAATAGTGGTAAATCTGCCAATCACTTTTTTTACATTTCACACCTTTATTTGTTTGTTTTCCGCTGCTGGTGAACACAAGATAAACATAGCCATTTTATTTTCCGTGACTAGTGAACCTACATGTGTTTTTTCAAGTTTTTATGTGTTGATAATAGTAAAATAGTCATAAATCTGAAAAGGTACTATTTATTTTTACAATAGACTTCATGTACCACTCTGCCATAAATGGATTTAATAGTACACTTTACACCAAACATTTCTCTTAACACTATTGTACAGTGTCTCAGACACCAGGCAGTGCATTAACAACATTTCATGTAATAACTCTCTGTGATGGAGCTTTTAGAGGCATAAAACTTTTCGGACATCTGGTTCCTATCACCACCACTGTGAACAATTCTAAAGAGTTTATAGCCTCTAAAAGCTTCATCACAGAAAGTTATTAAAGTTATTACCATTTTTTCATATAAAGTTCTTATAATTAAATAGTTCAGATATAAACCGCAGTCAGACTCAGAGTGGTCTATTGGAAAAAAACGGTAGAGTTTCCCTTTAAAGCTGAGTGAAGCTACGCTCAGCACTACGCATCACTCCACGGTCTGTCCAATAGGAGCCCGAGTTGCGCTCCACGCTCCTTACTCGACCAATAGGAGCCCAAGTTGTGCTACAATCCGCTCAGAGGACCAATAGAAGCCCGAGCTCATTCGCTCTTGTCCAATAGCAGCGCGCTGCGTCTCGCGGCCGTTCGCTGCGGGTCGAGGCGGCGGCACGAGCAAGTGAGCTGCAGGGAGAGAGAGAGAGAGAGAGAGCGGAGATTAAACTCAGTCTGCAGGTACGTTCTCGCGCGGCGCGCGCGCGTGTGTGTGTGTGTGTGAAAGATGACCTTGAAAATTCTGTGTAGTAGAAAATATTCTGTCACATTAAACGCGTCCCAACTCAGGGGTGTCTGAGAGAGTACCGCAGTGCAGAACTGCGCTTCGGTCTGTGTGTGTGTGTGTCTGTGTGTGTGTGTGTGTGTGTGCGTGTAACCGTCGAGGCTCTGTCAGAATGTTGTCTGGCTCTGAGTGACCCTGTCTTTTTAACATTTCAGTGAGGAGTTGATAAGAAAACACGGGCTTGTACGTAATTTGGACGTATCAGCGGACAGTAAAGTTAGAGAGACCCTCTCGGACTTTAAATGAGGGAGGGGGTGAGCAGTGACGCAGTAGTTTGGGATGACTTACATCCAAAAAGGTGGGGCTGGCATCGCAGCGTCTTTGCTGCCCTTGAGGTGTTACATGTAGCAAATAATGAATTTAATATTACAGACAAATTGTTTCATATGAGAAACTAGGGCTGTGACAGAGCCTCATGACATTGAGACATTACAGTGCGGACTGTGAGAGGGAACGTCATACACAGTTAAAAAAAAAGACTCGTGCTTCTAAATAGGACCATTGTCTGTATTAAAGAACCGTTGAGCCATCTTTTTTTTTTTAAAGTGTGTAGAGAATGTACGTTCTGTTTCTAATGCTACTGCACTGTTTGAACACCAGAGTTTAAACGATCAGCTGTAATTAACACCTCATGCTGCACTCCTGCACTCCTGCCCCCAGCTCTAGTGCTCATTTTTATTTTTATTCATTCAAATTTTATACAGAATCATGAACCCTGTACGGTGGTTCAGATTGGCTGGGGATATTGTTTGGTTCCTCTAGGAAATAAATCCTGTGACCTTTGGTTTTTGGAATGAAGCAGGATTGGAGTTTCCTTTTGATCATGAAAACATTACCTCCGAAACTTTCACACTTCACATTTCGACAGAAGATTTTATAGTCACATTTTTCAGTGGCTCTTTTTCCATAATCCATCCATTAATGACTCAGTGTTTGCCATCTGCTTTTCAGAGCTATACTGTGTTGATAAAGAGGCGTTTATGTACAGTAGGTGTTCATGGCTGACCTGGAAGCTTATCTGAGAATACAATTTGTTTTTTCCCTCACCCATAGTCAGCTTAAAGCAAACAGTGACCTAAATCTGAGCAGGCTGGTCAAAGAGGAGGCAGCAGCAACAGACCGGGACAAGATTATGGATAAACGTGCTCTCGGATCAACTGACCATGCCACCGCGGCACGAGAGAGATAAACAAACTGATGTGGACAAACGCTTGGATAGAGCAATGATGCAGGGACAGTATAAGATGCCATCCTATCGACACATAGGAGGCATCCAGAGTCTCCCCCTCCCATGTCCCTCAGTCAGGAGGGAGTGTGTGTCCTTTAAAGTCTGTGCAGATGTGCTGAAAAGGCAGAGCAGGTTGTTAGAGGGAGGGAGGCAGGCTGGGTGTGTTTCTGTTCAGCTCTTCTGATGCAAGAAAACTGTGTATGTGAGCTCAGACTGAGATTTACTCAGTAACCCACTCGCTCCCCCTCCATTTCATGCATGCTTTTCTGCAGAGTCATGCTTTAGTACTCAGGGAGGCAAGAAGCGCCAGTGCTGCATTATACTGCAGTGTGTGTGTGTGTGTGTGGTATCTGTGCTGCATTTGAAAGAGCAGCATGCAGTAGAGATGTGCTACTACCACTTTTTCCTTTCCGATACCTGATATTTAAGCACTTGAGATACCAAGTACGGATGCTAACTCTATGTAACCTAACTACTGAAAAAGGGCCTCTAATGCCCCAAAAATGGTACCATTCTATTTTTCAAATACTTTATTTTGGGTAAAACATTGTTCTGTGTCACAAATGAAACATAATAAGCTTAAACAAATGGCATTTGTCTGTGGTCTTGACATGGTTTATCTTTAAATGCTTAATCAAGTTGATAAACAATGAGGTCCTTGTTGGTCAGGCCTCCACTGATTTTGCAATGAGCATTTTTACGATTGCGCATCTCAAGTATGAAATAATCCCACACCGCTGACATGTTGCTTCAGTTAAGGTCCATCTACTGGCATGCATGTAAGTGTCACCCATGGTATCTGTATTCTCTATTGTGGATAACAATGCTGTATTTAAGTGCTGATACCTGGGCCAAAATGAGGCTGCATCCTATCACCTTACTTGTTCAAACTATACTCTGAACATATAGTAAGATACACAAGACTGGAAGAAAATGATAGAGGATTTAAGACTGTTGGAAGAAACATCAATCACCTTACATGATATGTGATATGTGGTTGGCAAACCACTCATAATGAAAGGTCAAGACGGTCAAAAGGTCATCATAAGGAAAGTTAAAGCTGCACTGTGTAAGATTTTTTGTTGAAATTGAAAGAAATAGCATTACTGAGTTATGCTGATGGAGATATGATGACATTAGTAGATAATTCACTGACATCCTCAGAAGACTTGTTCGTTAAGACCGAGTTCTCTTTTAATACCCATTCAATGTGCTCGCAATCATCCACTAAATGAAGAGGTCTGGAGCACAGCTGATGTTACAAGGAGGTGTACTTAATCAAGTGGCTGGGCATTGTATTAATAAATGCCCAAGCGAATTGGATTGCAGCATTTCTTGTGTGGAGTTGGACTATATCTAGTATCCATTCTGCTGAGTCAGGCCATGGTAAATGATTCATGTTTCTGTCAGAGAGCACCTCAGCCCCCTGCTGAGCATGCTATTCTAAAAGCATGCAGCTCTGTCCCTTTCCACAGTAAGCAAATTTAAACCCCAGAACAACACAGCACAGCACAGAATTGACTTTGTAAATATCACATTACTACAGTGATGGCAGTGCACTGTACCGATGGATGTATACAGGGAGGTATATATATGGGTTCTTGAATAGAAAGGTGGCAGGGTAATGAGACTCATACTGGATGTCCCTGTCCTTCATCTGAAGATAAATAGATTTAAGTAGAGAGCAGAGATAACAAACTAATGACATTTTATAGCAGATTTATGGAGCTTGGCATTAATAGGATGAATTATATTAATGGGATCTCTTTCTGTCTTATCCTCAGGACTGTGTGATGGGAGGGGGCGTCGCCATGGCTGCTCCAGTGGTGCTCCTGTCGATCCTCTCCTCTTTGCTGTTATCAGCTGGTGGGTGATAATCACTGATTGTGTTGTGGAGGTGTTTGTGCACACTTTTCAGATGTTTACTTTTAATTCAGTGCTCAGGTAATGCCTAACTGAAAACATCACATCTCCTGTTAACCTTTTCCTGTAGATGCAATCAAGCCCAGGTTCTTTGAGCCCAGAATCTTTGACAGTAAGTCACATCAGTTTCTGCTTCAAGACTGAATTGTAATAGATAGACATTATTGGACGGTCTACATGAATTTATCTACATTTCTACTTGTTCTCATATGAAGTCTTGACAATAATGATGTCATTTTGTGTCTCAGAGGAGGCCACAGGTTTTGGGCCCATATTCGAGGAGGAGCCTCTTGACACAGTGTACGCCGAGGATTCACCTGAAGCCAAAATTTCCATGAACTGCAGAGTTCGCGCCAATCCACCAGCCACTATCAAGTAAACAACTTAGCTGCTTTTGTTCCAAAGCACCCTGTTTTATTAGAGATCAGCATGGGGACTTGCAGGGACAAAACATCTATACAGCTGCATATGAAATGTGTAGAAAGTGTGCATCGGTAGCAAAAAAATATTTGGCAGTGCGTCATATATCATATACTGAGAGCCTTGACTTCCACATGATTAGCACAACTTCTAAGTATTTAAATCTGTAGCATGCCATTTGAGAAAGATTCTGCTAATAATACCTCACAGCATTCCCTATTATGTATTAAAGTCAGCGTGAACCGGAAATCATAAAACATTTTTCTTCCGTATCGTAACGTGTCTCAGAGTGAAACACAGTGTCTGGAAGGGTCTCTGAGGTAACTTTTTGATAAAATGTGTGAAGCAGGAATGGCTACTGTCACAACAAACTTGAATGACAATGATGCCTATATAGAAAAGAAAAACATATAGCTGTCAAATAAAAATAATTATGATTAATCACATTGTTTTGTGTGGGTAATTGAGATTAATCACATCTTATTTGCACAAATTTGACCCTAAAGAAAGTGAAGAAACAGTGACTGCAAGTTCCAACTCCTCTGTAATTGTAGTCTCCCTATGAACACTGTCCAGTGTAGTCTATGAGCATCTTCAAGAGCAGTTGTTACAGGTATTACTGGTATGTTTGCTTGTAAGTGTTCAGAGTCAGTGTTCTTCAGTGATAAACAAATTCGTTATGATAGTAGCTGGAAATAACTTGAATTAAGAGAGTTATCAGTAACAAGAAAAAAGGTTAATTTTCACATCAGACTGGCTCATATTACCTGACCTTCCATCACACAGAAACGCTCAGCTAGCTCAGAAGACCCTCTGAGATTTTATGTTTCACTTGGAAATGTGTTACATTACAGAAAGAAATTGTGTTAGAATTTCTGATTCATGTCAACTTTACATAAGCTATCGCAGTGAGTATGCAGATTAAATAAAGTGATCCATTCCGTGACTCAGTCAAGCTCATTGTGGTCCAGAAATGTCCACTCTGTTTAAAAAAGTGCAGTCTGTTGCCTTGACTTCAACTGCACTTACTGAATCTTAGCCTTGTTGGTCATTGCATGAGTGAAGAACATAAAATATCCGTACTTGTTGACAATCAGGTTGTACCTGCAAACATTTGCATTGACATACCGATTCTTTTCATTATATTACATGCCATATATTGAAAATAAGAAAATGTAATGAAGAACTTATGTTGCTACATGTATGTATGTTTTAAGCAAGACTGTGTTTGCAGGTGGTGGCATAACAACTGGGAGATTAAACTGATGGAGCAGCCAGATGAGCACTACAGTTTAGTGGGTGGAAACCTGGTCATCACGAACCCAGAAAAGAGCAAGCATGCTGGGAAATATGTGTGTGTGGCCAAGAACGTTTATGGCACTACCATCAGCAAAGAGGCTACTGTCAAATTTGGGTGTAAGTGAATAGCTTTTAGATTTTTTTTTGCTAGTGTAGTTCTAGCTGAAGCCCAAAAATCTTTTATTGAGGCATAATTCTTTCAGAATTCACATTTACTCTGACTGAAGTGAGTAGAACTGGTTAAGTTGCGGTGGCAAATTGATAACAGTAACCAATCACTGGCCAAGTAGTTCCAGTTAATGATGTTTCTGTCACATACTAATTTTGATGACTGTACCATGGTTGATCCACCATGATGGCAATGTCTGTATTTCTGTTCAATATTTCATGTTTGATTTAATCTCTTCTCAGATCTGGACCAGTTTCCCACTGATGAGAGAGAGGCTGTGTATGTTAAAGAAGGACAGGGGGCCGTCCTCTTGTGTGCTCCACCCTCTCGCTATCCAGGTAAGAGCTTTTCCCTATTTACTATTAAAAATGCTGTATTTGTTTAAATATTTAATGCTTGTGTAATCATATTTTGATTGTGATGCAGAAGCACTGGTGTTAAATTACATGCTCTATATTGTGCTAAATTCAGAAAGAATAGAACAACTATTTTCTTTTCACTTTATACAGTCCACTGATTTAGGCAAAATCATTGCTGGTTGACGTGACTCTAATGTTTCTTTCTCTTTCGCCATCTTTTTTTTCCTCTCTCTTTCGTAGCTGAGGTGATGTACCGATGGATCTATAATGATTTCCCCAATTTCATTATCCCTGATCAGAGACGCTTTGTGTCTCAGAGCACTGGAAATCTCTATATTGCTAAAGTGGAGGCTTCTGATGTCGGCAACTACTCCTGCTTCGTGTCCAGCCCCACCATCGGCAAGAGTGTCTTCAGCACCCCTATCCCTTTAGTGCCACAGACGGAGAGTGAGTGTGTGTCTGTATACAATAAAGCCACTTATAATATTTGAAATTTGAATAAAGAATACTTTGAATGTAAATGTTAATGAATATATTGTTAGAGTATTTGTTTTTGTTTTATGCTGTTCTTGCAACCTACATTTCCAGTTGCAGCAGTACATATTTTTTATTTTAATTTTAAAGCCTTTAAATACAAAATTAACCATGGTCTAACACTTTCAACTCCCCTTTCAGAGGAGGTGAAGCGATATCCTGCAGACATCCGGGTCAGATTTCCGAAGACGTACGCTTTGGTGGGGCAAAACGTGACACTCGAGTGCTTTGCCTTGGGAAAGTAAGCTATTTAGAGGTGGAGGTAGAGATGGGCGATAAGGCAAAAATATAATATCATGATACTTAGGGACAGTTTTTCATAGTGCCACATTTGAAGATACTTTGACTCTGAATACGCTATGAATACAGTGATTTGTAGACAATGGGTGCATTTATATGCACTTATTAATCCGATAACTGCAGAAAATCCGATCAACGTGTTTACATGCACTTGAGTGATCAGATAATGAGAAACTCCAGGTCTACATGAGTCAGACAACAATGTGATTTCTGCTTTGCAAACGTAATGTAAAACTCCATGCTGCATTTTTTTTAAAAAAACATTGTGCCACTTTACCTGAAAATATAAACATACATCATCTAGAAGGTGAAGAGTAATTAAATTCTTCATATCGTCAAGCATGTAGTTGGTTTCAGCGTCATTTTACGGTACTGCAGTCTGTTATAGCACATGTTCAGACTGAGAAATCCGAAAGAAATCAGAGCAAGAGTATAAATGTCCTGAAGACTCTGATTACTGAGCTGAAGTCCAGCTCTTTTTATCGGATTTCTTAATCGGATTTCTAGACCTTACTCCGGTCTAAGAAATCGGAATATGCCGTTTACATGACCATTTGAATAATCAGATCACTGCAGAAATCCGATTATGATCAGATTATTGAGCGCATGTAAACGCAGGACCAATAATGATGCTCTTTTTCTTTTTTAATGAAACATGCAGTTGTTCTGTAATTACTGACAATATTCACAGTAGGCTCAGAAAAGCATATTGTGAAGTAGTGTGATGAAATTTATCACCAGAACAATAAATATCATAACACTGCCCACCCCTACCATCAACATCAGGTGTAGTTCATACATTTCAAGTCTTTCCTTCATCGTCACTTTCCTCGCTCCTCATAAAATTAGGGAGTGTTTTATCAGGACAAAATTTTGATACTAGTCTCAAGCACTAACCATGGTTATTCAGCTGTTTCAGTCCTGACTTAGTGTGCTTGTGTGCCATTCAGTCCTCTCCCACACATCCGCTGGAGGAAACTGGATGCCGACCTGCCGCCCAACTATGAGGTGAGCATGAATGGGGCGCTGCTGCACCTCATCAACGTGCAGTACGAGGACGAGGGCAGCTACGAGTGTGAGGCCCTCAACGTCAGAGGCATGGACTGGTACCGGCAGTGGCTCTACGTGGAGGGTAAATTTCACATTACAATACTTGTGGCATTGTTACTGATCTGCAAAGCAATTATTTAGCCTCCAAGGCCATTGTTATAGCTGGTGATAACAAAAGCAGCATATTGTCACTGTCACACACACACTTACACACACACACACACACACACACACACACACACACACACACACACACACATACACACACACATATACAAAAAAAAATGAGCATCTGCCTTTATGAGAAGTTATTGTTGTGTGTACAGTGTTGCTTTGAGGAAAGAAAAAATCCTTTACATTTTGTTATGTTTTTGTTGTTTCTTGACATTAAAAAGACAAACAAACGTTGGAAGTTTAGGCTCAAACTAGGGTGTAAATCAAATCAAACTCCAGACTTCTGAGTGCTAAAACGATTGGTGATGTTAAAAGACCAACATGCAGTTTCAGTATCATGAGCGATGATTGAGTTATTACACACCCCTTAATAAATCACTACACCCCTGTGCAAAAAAAAAAAACCAAGATCAAAATGGCAAAACATTAAGCTTGTAATGGTGTTAACAACAAATTATTAAACAAGGAAATATAATTCCTTAGCACAGGATAGTTTTTACTGTGGATTTCTTTAAATGTGGAAAGTCTTGAGGTTAAACTTGCAGACAAACTTTTCACAGAAAGAAGAATCGGTATTTTTCCACTCAGCACTGATGGCTACAAACAGTTGAATAACATTGCCAAGACAGTATGTGTTTAATATGAGACCAAATATTCTCTATTGGGTTTAAATCTGGACTCTGACCAGCCAAAACCAACAATAAAACCATTTATTTTTTGGGCTCGGCACATTTATTTTTTTTTGCACAGAATTCTAGTTGTGTTACTGACCTGAGCTAAAATATTTTACACTATTTTACACAATATTTTATGGACTCAGTTTAAGTCTCCTAGTGAAAGGCTTAATTGACTTAAGAATACACTGTTAAATGGAGTCTATGATGACCAGGGTCTCAGGAACCAGCCTGAGTCAGTGATGCTGTTAACAAGTTTGTGGATCTTATGTTTCCACTGGTCTCTTTAGATAATACACATTATTATTCTCTCTTCTTCATTGTGGCCTCTCTAAACAGGTGCTCCAGAGTGGGCGGAGCATATTAACGACACTGAGAAAGATGTTGGCAGTGAGCTTACTCTGTCCTGCACTGCTGTGGGAAAGCCACTACCATGGATACGCTGGTTGAAGGATGGCTACTCTGTGAGTTCCCCTTTCATTCTGTTGCGGCAGATCAAAATAGGCAGTTGGAGTAAATCAGTGGATAATGTAGTGTATCAGTCACAAACTTGTTATATTCCAGTATGGCAAAGGAGAGCTGAAGTTCTCCAGTCTCACGTTTGAAGATTCAGGCATGTATCAGTGCATTGCTGAGAACACCTGGGGAACCATCTATGCCAATGCAGAGCTCCGGGTGGTCTGTGAGTACATCCACACACATGCTTAAGTGTTTGCTTCATTAGCAGGCTCCCCGTTTCACTGCTCAAAAGAAGGTAAAATGAGGGAGTAGTTGACTGTTGCTGTGTGTAAAAATCTCTGCATGCAATTTTCTTTACATGTTTGTTTCCATAAAGTATGATCTATAAAGTCAATACATTGAATTTATTATTTGTAATAAAACACAATTTTAGTTGTGTTTCAATGCACTCTCCACAGCTTGTGCTCCCACATTCATATACAACCCAGTGAAGAAGACTCTGTTGGGTGCTGAAAATGGCCGTGTGGTTATCGAGTGTAAACCCAGAGCGGCTCCGAAGCCCAGGTTTATCTGGAAACGTGGCTCTGAACTGCTCTCCAACTCCTCCCGGTCTGTCATCACTAAGCAGTGCTGTTTTACATCTGTACTAGTTTGCATAAGCAGTTACTCCTCTTTGTTGATACATTAGGAGCACAGAGTCCACCCTTCATTTATGTAATTTGTAGTCAAAACAGCCATTATGTACAAGTCATTCATGTTTCAGTGTCAGGAAAAAAAGAAAATTACACAGAATGCTTGACAACTAAATATAATATTAAATGTTTCAGTTTTTAGTGTCCACTAATTTATTACAGCTTCCATTTTTTCAGGAGACTTACTTTCAGTTTTTCAGTGAGATGTTTTTCCACAACTCTAAAGTTCAGTCTCAGAAGTTGGTAGTATTTTCTGATTCTCACAATTCAAATTATCCAAACACATTCAGTAACATTGTGGTCTGCACTCTGGGGTGGCCAGAGTGGAGCTAGATTTTCTCCTTTCTCTCAAAGAAGAAAGCTTAAATCTGATGGTGACAGTTTTGGTGGTCTACCAGGTCTTGCATGGTTGTTAAAGTCCCATTTTCTCTGTATCATTTGCCAATTTTTGAAGTCTAGTTTTGGAAACGCCTGTTTTTTGACTTATTTTCATTTGACTTTTGGCTTTATTGTGCAAGTGGATTATTATATAACCAATAACTCAGAGATGTACTTAGTGACTGTTTTGTTTGGAAATTAAATAAATGAAGCATAGCCTCTGACGTTTATGCAGTACCCTTGAGTACTCTCTTATTGAGATAAATACACTGTGAAAAGTAAGAAAACTGGTTGCCTTCAAATTTTAAGCTCACTGAACTTATAATAGTATTAACAGAAGGTTAGGTTAACAGAACAGTAATATGCATTTTACATTCAGTTAAATTATTATATAAAGTTCAGTGAAATCAAAATTTTAAAACAACCAGTTTACTTAATTTAAACAGAAATTTGGTTAAATCACTAAATCATTTTTACAGCATAAAGCTATTGTGTTATAAACTTATAGTCAAATGATATAATGCATAATCATAATTATTAAAACATAAAAATACATTATCATGTTATTTTTAGGCGATATCACTTATGGTACTAAATTATGGGCACCTAACCAGTCTCTGTCCTCTCTGATGTGTGTCATAGTATGTTTATCTGGGATGATGGGAGTCTTGAGATACTGAACGCGACAAAGAGTGATGAGGGCTCGTATACGTGTTATGCTGAGAATGACCGTGGCAAGGCCAACAGCACAGGCACCCTCAGCATCACCGGTTAGTAAAAGTGTTCTTGAACTGCTGACATCTGACACATCCTTAGATTAAGGAGGACATGCAGACATTTAATGCAGTATTTTAGCTGTAATAAACCCACTGGGGTGTGACATTTTTTGCCAGTCACTTCTGTTGAAAGTCTAGTATACTTGATTGATTTTGACACAAGTAATTGATAATTGCAGCATGTTGTGATCCGTATCCACAAGTTATTATCTAACGCCAGTTCATTTTAACTTTGCATGTGTGCGTTCTTGTCTCAGAGGCTACTAAGATCACAGTACCCCCCTCGGATGTGGAGGTAATAGTGGGAGAGACTACTGTCCTTCAGTGCTCTGCCTCATATGACTCCAGCCTAGACATCACCTTCATCTGGACAGTGGACTCTTACATCATCAACTTTGCCACCGACTTTGAACACTATGAGCAGATGATGGTAAGATGATGGCTATTCCTAATAGACAGTGTTGATTTATTTATTGAGAGCAAAATACATTACAACATAGTTCAGGTACAACCAGGTTCACTAGCAAATCTGAATATGAGGTCACTGTCCATTTTATCAGCTCTATTTACCATTTAGGTGCACTTTCACCCTGTTATTCAATGGGCAGGACCACCACAGAGCAGCTATTATTAGTGGTGGATCATTCTCAGTGCTGCAGTCACACTGATGTCGAGTGAGTCAGATACAGCAGTGCTGCTGGAGTTTTTAAACACCTCATGTAACTGCTGGACTGAGAATAGTCCACCAACCAAAAATATCCAGCCAACAGCGTCCTGTGACCACTGGTGAAGGACTAGAGGATGACCAACACAAACTGTGCAGCAACAGATGAGCTATCGCCTCTGACTTTACATCTACAAGGTGGAATGTCTAATAGAGTGGACAGTGAGTGGACGCAGTGTTAAAAACTCTAGCAGCAACACACACTAACACACTGAGAATGAGAATGATCCACCACCCAAATAATACCTGCTCTCTGGTGGTTCTGTGGGGGTCCTGACCACTGAAGAACAGGGTGAAAAGGAGGCTAGTAAAGTATACAGAGAAACAGATGAATTACAGTCTGTAATTGCAGAATTACAAAGTGCATCTATATGGTAAGTGGAGCTGATAACATGGACAAAGAGTGTAGAAACAAAGAGGTGGTCTTAATGAAGTGGCTGGTTGATGTATGTGTCAGGCTCAGGCTGAATAGGCAGTCTACAAGGCCCCTTGTGAGAAATTGGATACATGGGAAATCAAACCGATTCAGGAGAGGACAGTTTAGTGGCCAGAAGGATATAATATATTTCATTTGTTCGGCCATAATAGGTTAAAGAAGTGACGTGCTATGCCAGCACCTTGCATCTACTTGCAATAAATAACTAATTGTAATTTTTCTGACCAGTGTCGCAGTTGTTTTTATTGTTTTTTGTGACCAAGAAGACCATAATATCCACTTTTTCTGGCTTGAGGCTTGAATGTTGAATGTAGATTGCCAGACAGCCAGTTAGTTGTTTTTAGTTGTCATACACACAGCATGTTGGTGTTTGCTTGCTTCTGATTTGTCTAACTTAATTACAGGTAGTTCATAAGCTCCATGTTACTAGGTTTTAAATTGTGATTTAGTTAAAAAGACGATTAGTCTTTCAGCCCTAATAACAGCATTACGGGAAATTTATCCAGACTAAAAAAACTTTCTTTAATTCCTTAAATTGGAATCTAAACCTAATTTTGTGACAGCTGGGTACTTCATTATGTCATATTATTTTAAATTCTTGTTTCTTGATTTAGCCATGATTTAATGGCTGGTTTTGTCACTACATGGTCAGTTAACCAGCACAATCAAGTTTTATTATGCGCTTTGATGATAAGCTGGTTCAAGACCGAAATTTGTTGAGCTTGGGTCAGTTTCACCTGCAAAATTTGTGTGTGGATCATGTTAGGTTGGACTCGGACAGAATGTTTCTTGTTGTATTTGGTTTCAGACTAAAAAATTAGGCCCAATTAAACCTTAAGCTCTGTTAGGGTTGCACAATAGATCATTTGTTAAGTCTTATCACAATATTGGCCTTTGCAGTACTGATATCTTTAAATACCATATATGCAGACGAGTCTTTAACTACAAATATTTGCCAGTATATTTTAATGCATTGCATATCGCAAACCTAATCACAATATGGTATTTTGTGCATATTATGAAGTCCTAACTTTAATTATATTATTCTGTATTATAGTGTTATATAGTATTGTAGTGCAGATGCTAAATTGGATATGTGTTTATTTGTGTGCAGGGTCGGGAGAACAGCGGAGACCTGCTGATTAAAAACATTCAGATCAGTCATGCAGGGGAGTATATCTGCACAGCACAGACCATCGTTGACAATGCTACTGCATCCGCTAACGTTTTTGTCCAAGGTTAGTCTTGATGATCCTCAAATTAAAGCTCAAATTAATGGAGTGAACTGGAGTAAGCAAACAAAGTAACAAATGATTGTGTGATCCTGTCACATTGTAAGAACAAAATTACACACTAACACAAACTACATTACTGGGTATGAAATAGAAAGTTAAATATTTGTTTCAGAAACAGCAGATGTGTTAATAACAGGTAGTGATTGTAACAGAGACTAAAATGTCTACCAGGTGATTGAATGTACATGTAATAATCTACATTAGACAGTGCAGCTGAGCTCTGTAACACCATATTGATGTGTTATATACAGAAACACAAACGCATGTAGAGTCTTCATTGTGAATGCATTTGTGCTGGTATCAGGTCGGCCAGGTCCTCCAGGCGGCGTGCGAGTGGAAGAAATCAGAGACACATCAGTGAAGCTTGTATGGAGTTTGGGCTCAGACCATGGCAGCCCCCTCACTCAACATGTTGTACAGACTCGAGACTTCTATGCTCTTGATCCTGAGGACTGGAAGACTGCAGTCACCTGTGAGTCCACTAGGGGGCACACATTTATTAAAAAAAACATTCATGCTGCTTCACATTAAGCCTCAGCAAGGTGTTTAAGTTTGGCTTGTTCTGATAGGGGAAATTAAACAGACAGAATTCATAATGCTTGTGTTATCTCTAATACAGTAGTGTTATCCAGGCCAACGCTGAGATTTGTAGTATTGGAACAAATAGAATGCAAAGCACTCACTCATCTGTGAAACACCTGTAGCAAGCTGTATTACTTGATTCAGTGAGATTCAGATTAAAACTAAACTATTAATAAGAGGTTTGTCTTGTTTAGCTCCTGTTTTCTTGGATGGAAAAACTGAGACGGCAGAGGTGGTTGATCTGTATCCCTGGATGGAATATGAATTTCGTGTGTATGCCGTCAATGAGCTGGGAGCAGGAGAGAGCAGCCTGCCCTCAATTAAAATCAAAACCTGGGATGCTAGTGAGTGCACTCTTTTACTGTAACATATTTACTGAACACAGTTTTAATTGTAAACCAAATAGAGGTTATACTAAATAGATGTATTTACTTCAAGATCTTAGGGGCACATTCATATTATGTACATATACTGTGCATATAAAGCCTATATATATATATATATATATATATATATATATATATATATATATATATATATATATATATATATATATAGTGGTTGTCCACACTTCATTTGCTTTTCTACATAAGCACTCATCAGTAGCCACAGTGTCCTCAGTCAAAATCGAGAATATATTTCAAGTGAAGATAAGTTAACACATACTTTTCTGGGAACAAACTTAAATATGTTTTTTTTTCTGCAAACTTTAGTGCACAATTTCTGTTTATTTGAGTTTAACATACTGGAAAAAATGTAACATATAATATGTGCCCTAACATTTGCATAGGCCACATTTTATGTTTTTTTTAGCAAATAAACTGTAACTGTGTATTAAAATGTGCAGAAATGTATTGTCTGCAGAGGATTTATTCTTACTTTTACTTAGAAAATCAACAAAACGTCATTTGGACTGGGGCTCTTTTGCATATGACTGTATGCCTTAAAAGTAACTTACATACATGCTATAAATGTTCTATGATGTCCTTAAGTGGAGACCACTTCTACTTTACCTTTATGTATGGTTTCACTACAAACTGCCAAAGCCTGCAGAGAAAAGAAGTCTAACTCAGCCTGTTCTGCTTTCAGTTCCTACCATGTCTCCCACTGATGTCGATGGCTATGTGGGCCTGAATGGGGAGCTCATCGTCACCTGGACTGTATGTGTTCTTACTGAACTGTATACACCAAAGCATGTATTCAAATTCTTTCAAGTACAAAAAGTTCAACCAATCTGAAGGACACTTTCACCATGTTCTCATCTCTTTTACAGCCCATGAAACCTCAGTACTTCTTTGGTAAAAAGTTTGGCTATGTAGTGGCGTTTAAGCCCCATGAGGACTTTGACTGGAAGTGGTCAACTGTAGCAGATCCGGAGGCCAGACGCTTTGTTTACAAGGACACCATCATCCCCAACACTGAGATCCAGGTCAAAGTGAAAGGCTACAACAGCAAAGGAGAGGGGCCATACAGCTTGACCAAAGTAGTGTACTCATCTGAAAGCGGTGAGGTTTCTTTCTTGGCTTCTGTCTCAGTAGACAAAAGAGGATACATGTTAAGATTAGTGTTAAGATTAGAAGTCAGAATAAAATGTTCAGAGAAATGTACAATATATAGTTTATTTCTGAGGTAATTCTTCAAATTTAGCTATTTTCACTAATATGCAGCCACATTTTCCATTGGCTTCTGTTAGTCTTGCACCATATAATACTCCAGGTCTGACCCCTGTGGCCTCCTTGCACAGCGCCCACTGAAGCACCGCTGGACGTGTATGCCCGTCAGGTCACCTCTACAGAGGCTCTTGTGTGGTGGCTGCCTGTCTACCAGGTTCCTCCTCACTGGGTGGATGGCTACCAGGTACGTCTAATGCATGTTTCATACTCCAGAACTTTTCTGTTTTCTCCTGGCTCCTTCCTACTTTCTATAGATATCACAGTTCATAATAAGGGTTAGGGTTATTAAATAATACTTAGGCCAACCTAAATTCTTATCCTTCAGATTCGCTACTGGAGGAAGTATGATGACAACGAAGCGGCTGCCTCTCGTGTTCTGGTGCACAGTTCGGTTAACCAGACTCGCCTGGAGAACATGCGGCCGGACTCACACTACCTTATAGAGGTACGGGCCTACAATGGAGCCGGACTCGGGCCACCCAGTGAGCACTGTGAGATGTTCACCAGGAGACCACGTAAGACCAACACTACATTCTGCATTTTTTGCACACAATACCTCATGTAATACGATGGTATATAAACACTGTAAATCAGTTAAATATATGAAAACTATTAGATCGGAAGTTCTATAAGGCTGTGTACTTACTGTGACAGTAATGCACATGTATTTATTATACAAGGACTTTATTTCACAAGGACTTATACACTGTCCAGTTACTTTATTAGAAACGCCTGCCTTGTAGGTCCACTTTGTCATTGTACAGAGACTGGAGCCAATTGTGGATGTGTTAGCCATTCTCTAACACAGTGGCCAGTTTCTGACCACAGAACTGGATATTTTGGGTGCTAGACCACTTTTCACCAAAGGTCTGACCACTGATGAATAGTGTAGATGGACTGCAGTCAGTATGCTTATATGATGGACTTACAAGGTAGTTGGATCCTTGTGAATTTAGGTTTTGTCCACTAATACTGCACATTGCACGGTCACTTTGTTTATGCATCCATAAATGTCAAATTGTTACATTTAAACTGCACAACTGTTACCATTTATAATAAATAATAGTATACAATATACTAAAACAATAAACAGTAAGGGTAATTTGCAGCACAAATGTATTTTTGTATTTTTGTACTGCACATTACTCTTATTGTTTATTGTTTTAGTATATTGTATACTATTATTTATCTCTACTTTCTTTTTATGTATATGTAAATAGTGTACAGCAATACTTTGCTCCTGTTCCTTTTGCTCTTGTTTTGCTCTTTACTGTGCTTTGTACTGTTGCAATATTAGAATATACCTCTGGGATTAATAAAGTCTGTACCTATCTACCTACCTATCTATCTATCTATCTATCTATCTATCTATCTATCTATCTATCTATCTATCTATCTATCTATCTAAAGTAGCCAGTGAGATCTTGTCAATCGAGACTCAAACTTTGACTGTGTATTACGTAAATCCTACATGCACAACTAAGTTTACTTTTTCAAATTTAATTTTCCAGCTCCAAATCGTCGTCTGAGGGTGTACAAGTATGTCAGCTTTACACGCAAATGGCTCTATATCTACTGGGATCACATCTACAATTACTGGAATGAGTCTTATGTAGAGGGTTACAAGGTGGGTGTTTTGTATATCAGAGACCACTGCACAGACTTTGGCCTGCAAAGATGTTTAAGTTAGCCAATATCCTTTGCCCTAATTTACCCTAACTCTTTTAAGAGTTTATATTTTAAGGGAAACACTACTTTTGGTAACAAATTATGTGTATAATAATAATGTAAAGGTATAAAATGTTATATAATGTTATACAGCTTTCTTTACCTGTATACTTTTTGTGGTATACTTTGGCCCCCTCAAGACAAAAAGTTTGGCCACCCCTGCTCTCATATTAGTGTTTTATCAGTGCTAGGGCTCTTTGTCCTATCTGTCCATTAAATGTCTGTGTATCCAGTTAAAATAGCATCAGTATGACAGATGCACATTTTTTCAGTGTTTAGGAATTAAGCTTGCCTGTCTTTCTTGTGTGAAGATCTTGTTTAGGAAGGAAGGGGAGCGCTATGGGAAACTGTACACCACCGGCAGGCACTACATTGACTTCCCCTATGCCTGAGACAGGCGATTACGTGATTGAAATAAGGGCTCGCTGTGAGGGAGGAGATGGCCCTATATCACAGATACGTGTGCAAGGTGAGATGAGCCTGCTTCCTTAGAATTACAGGGCAACAAAGGCAACAAAAGCTGAATCTTATAGGTTGTAGCTTTAAAGGAACCCCTTACCTTAAATGTAGTTGATAAGCCAAGAATCTTTAGTTTTGGACCAGAGCTATAAGGCTAATGCAGCCAGCAGGTAATGGAAACTTAAGTCTCACTAATTAGCACTTTGTAGCTAGTAGAGGTTTTGAGGTCAGGGGGAAACTAGATATTTGGCAAAATTATTGCATTAACCTGACTGCATTGCAGTGCCCTCATTTCATTGTCTGCTGTGTGTTGTGTTGCCATGCAGGTCGAGCTGCACTTGGCTCTCAATCTCTTGGTGCTGTCTCACTCCTGCTGCTGGTGCTTGCCTGGATGAACCTTGGTCTGTAGGGAGATCCTGCTTTACCTGGGTCAGATGGACTATACAACCCTGTTTCCAAAAAAGATGTAAATAAAAACAGAATGCAAAGATGTGCTAATCACTTAAACTCTATATTAATTGAAAATTGTACAAAGTCAACATGTCAGATGTTGAAGCTGAGAAATGTTATTCTTTTTTGGAAAATATATGCTCATTTTGAGTTTGATGCCAGCAACATGTTAAAAAAAGTTGGAACAAGGGCAACAAAAGACTGGTAAAGTTGTGTCATGCTAAAAAAACACCTGGGGCAACATCTCACAACTAATTAGGTTAATAAGCAACAGTTCAGTAACATCACTAAGTATAAAAATCTACTGAGATCTGAAAGATCTACCGAGTCTTTCAGAAGTAAAGATGGGAAGGGGTTCACCACTCTGTAAAAAACTGCACAGGGCAAACAGTAAAATAATTTAATAATTTCATTTAAAGTTTCAGTTTCAAAGTTTTATTTGTTACATACATAGTCATACACGGTACAACTAGCAGTGAAATGCTTGGATAACTGCCTGCTCACATGAAGCAATAAGGTAATAAGAATAAGATTGTAGAAAATATATAACAAAATATCCATCAATGAAATATACACTATAATTTGGAGATTTCATCATCAATTTGTACAGTACATTATACCATTACAAGATTTAGAGAATCCAGAGAAATCTCTTTATGCAGGGAACAAGGCCAAAAACCCATATTGGCTGGCCATGATCTTTGGGCTTTCCGACGGCACTGCATTAAAAGCAGGCACGATTCTGTAGTGGAAATCACTGTATGGGCTCAGGAACACTTCCAAATAACACTGTCTGTGAACATGAAAACATTTTGTTGCTGCATCCACAAATTCAAGTTAAAGCCACCATTAATGCTGACTGATATAAACAGGCTTTCGAGCAACATATGCTGCCGTCCAGAGGACGTCTTTTTCAGGGAAGCCCATGCTTATTTCAGCAAGACAAATTCCAAACCACATTCTCCATGTATTACAACAGCATAGCTCCATAGGTCCGGGTTCTAAACTGTGTAGAGTCCAGATGTGTGACCCATTGAGAACATTTGGCAAATATGACTTTGTACTATTTTCAGTTAAATATAGGGTTCAATTGATTTGAACATCATTGCATTCTGCTTTTATTTACATTTTGTACAGCGTCCCAACTTTTTTGGAAACAGGGGTTGTAGAATAAAAACAACCACCACCATCCCAACTGTTTCTTGATTTGCCTTATGAAATGTCCTCAATCATTCAAGTCATAAATTATAGGCATACTATTACCACTGGAGCGAGAGATGAATTCATATATGATCAACATGAAAACATATAACATGGAACATTTATAATAATTGTATTTTGTTGTGAAATGTATTTTTTAAAACCCCTTTTCATGTATTTATTTTCAATCTGTTTCTTTTGTTGGTGCGAGACTGACAACATACGGTTATAAAAGGATGCTTTTTTCATTTTTAATGTTTTAGCTCTGTAAAAAGCCAAATAATTTGCGTTTTTTATGGTTTGGATTGGAGTGTATGAACCCAGGTTTGATAATTGCACAGAGTAAAAGACCTGCATTTAGTCACTGGCTCTAGTTCTGTTACCTTCACTTCATATGAACAAGAAAGCATTGTTTTTGGTTGCTTATGCTGCAAAGTTGGCTGTACATTAGAGAGTACTCTAATCATGACTGTAAAATCATCTCGACATCGCGGTTGCTTATGTGCAGCACTAGTTTTTGAAGTTTTTCACCCCACACATGCAAATGACTCACAGCTATGTGATGTATGGAAATCCAGCAGCACAATCTGTATAAAGCTCTGTCCTCATTAAAGTTTGTATTTAGGATGAAAGAACTTGGGTTTGAAGTTCCTGACACAAACTTGCTGTGGTCACTCACTTAAGCACTGAATTCACTCTTACAATGTCGAGCTGGGTTCAGCTGGACTTCTTGAACACTCTAGGTGTTAATTCATCAATGACTTTTTATCTGTGCACAAGAGCACATTCTCACTTCCTCCTGTGGCTGGATTATTATTAAGAGCTGAGTATTTGACTAAACTGAACTATTTAACTGATTTCCTGTGCCTGAGTTCCACAGTTGACACATACAAATTCTTATGCTTTTTAAGCTCTTTTAATCAGAGCATCTTATTTTTTAAGCTGAAGTCACCTTTTTCTTACCCAAATGAAATCATACAGAGATGGAAGGGATGTGCATTTGACCTCCAATTGAAATATGCGCATATGATATTACCATGAATACATTAGACTTAAGTTTTAAGAAAAAAACTAGAAAATCTTCCTCGGCTTCTGCTGCCCTTTACACATGGACTGCATTGCTCATGTTCTACCAGCAGATGGCAGCATAACTTTGCATTTGTATTTTCCCAGGCTTTATTTAAATCATATTTCACTTGTCTTACCTTCCCAAGTTTTGGTAATAAGGGAAGATAATGCAGTTTTCATATAGAGCTGATGCATCATAAGACATTTACTTCAGATATGCTCAGATAAACAGATTACTACTCCACTGATACACTGACATAGTGAATAATACTTTGAATAATTATACGCTTTCTACAGCATGTGGGAAGGAGACTCACACTGTGTGTCACAGAAAGAGGCAGATGGGATGATTTGGTACGGAGTGCGTCTTCCACCCACCCACATCTCCAGATGTATCACTGTGCTCATCTGTGCTTTGAGAAGTGATGGGTGTTGTTATGAACAGTCGAGTACTTCTCAGTGGCCATTAGATACAGGCAGTGATGTGCGATGAAGGTAAAAAAAATAAATGTTTTGGCAGCTATGATCAGCTAGCCACTGTTTACTGCTGTTGCTAAAGCACAGGTGGGAGTGTAGGCCCGTGTGTGGACGTGGGCATGTGAAGTGTTAATTGTAATCGAAGCCACTCTTGGGTTTTCCATTTTTGTGTGTCTTTACATTAGTATGTTCGATGCTATTCCACACAGTGTCTTTAGACTTTTCAAATATATCTCTCAAATAAACAGTTTGTGTTGAGCTATAATTTCAGAGCATGCATTGGGTGGCATATTTAAAAGCCAGCAGTCTTAAGATGAGACTCAGAATATTGGAAAATATTAGAAGTGACTCCCAGGCCACTATCAATTTGCTCAAATTGGATCAAAAAGCAAAGAGGAGAGGAATCAGAAGGGTTACCCCTATGAAGTATGATGAAGTTTACTGTTTATATCTCAGTTTTTTGTGATTTTTATTTTTCCACATCACTTAAGCACAACAGTCCTTTACACTGTGTGAAAATTTCATGATGAATCACCAACAAAAATGATTCAAAATTGCTTAGAATAAAATCTCTTTACAATAACTTACACTTAAAGTAAAGACTGTTTTGCCCACTCCTGCAAATTTGCTTTTTTTTTTTAAATCCTTGTTTTTCTTTGGACAGCGGTGATATATTGTCAGTATTTTCCAAAATACAAATAGAATACAGCATATTTGTACAACGTGTGATTGTAGTGTGAGAAGACTATATGACTGTAGAAGGGCAGAAGACTCTGAGAACGTGGGCTGGAGTTCTGGGCGGCTTATGCTTTAAGCTAGAAGGCCAGACCACCATTGATGAACAAAGGTATGAACACCAGATGAGGAAAAGGGAGGAGATGGGTGCGACAATTTATTCACAGAAAATGAAAGGTAGTTACGAAAAGTTTATAGAATGTTAGGTTGGAAGGAGAAGCTTCAGACATGGTCCTCCTTCCAAATGTCTGTTATTCCATAAATCCATTAAGGGCTACTTTGTTGGTGCAGCTTGTAGGTGGACAGTATAGCTCATCTTTTTCAATGTGCAATTTGTATTCATCATAGTCTGTGGTCTGTTTCTGGACTCTGGACTCTTTTCAACCCAGCAGTGACACTGAGGTGAATAAAACTCCACCAACACTTCTCTGCCTGATACACTTTTACCAACACCACACACACTACCCTGGTATGGTTCTGATAACAATCCAACACAGAAATAATATCCATGGTGGTCCTATAGTGGTACCTTTCCACTAATGAACAACAGCTACAATCTGTAACTGTAAACCTTTGAAGTGCATTTATAGGGTAGGTGTAGCAGATTGTGATATAGTGTGGACAGGATATCTTTTTAAATAATCCACAAAAAGTCTCAACCAATGTTAAGAAAAAAAGATAAAGGTGAAAATGAGCTTTCTTAAAGCTTCTTAAGACACAAAGAAGAAACACACCTGCTTTAACTGTCACGGTGAACATTAGGATATTTGAGTGTGTGTGTGTGTGTGTGTGTGTGTGTGTGTGTGTGTGTATGTGTGTGCGTGCACGTAAACGTACTGCCATCCTTCATGCTAGATTAGGCACATCTAACCTGTCTCTTCTCATTTGTTGTCATGAATTATCAGACTTTTTCCAGACGATGTGGGTCAGAAATCACTAATTAGCGATATCATTGGAAAATTCACCCACAGCGCCATATTTTTTAGTGATTTAGTTGTAATTTAAATCATTGTTAATCTCATCAATGAACAAATGTTGATGTATTATCAAATGAATTAACAAATAAGTACAATACTAATGAAAAATGTCATAAAAGTCAAAATGGCCATTAAGTACGTTATTCATTACAGTATTTAGTGTCCACTCTTTGCCTTTATTAGAGCTTCCATTCTTTTCAGGAGACTTGCTTTCAGTTTTTCAAAGAAATCTGCAGGGATATTTTTCCACACATTCAAAATTCAGTCTTAGTAAGTATCCAAGTAATCCATACACATTCAATAATGATTCAGTGATGTTGAGGTCTGGACTCTGGGGTGGTCAGGTCATTGTTCTGAGAACACCAGCAGCTTCTTTGTTTGATTTGCAGATATTCTTGTTTTTGTCTATTTTCTTTTCTCAGTAAGATCTTCTTGGCAGCTACACATCCTTTCAGACTCACAGTGTTGAGTGGATATTTTCAGATCTGAAGTAAGAGTGGAGCTTGATTTTCAACTCTCTCTCAGAGACTAAAGCTTTAAGTACTGTTTATCTGATGATGACAGTTCTGGTGGTCTACCAGCTTTAAAATAGTTATCCCGCTTTCGAAACATCTCATAAACTCTTTTTAACTTCTTTTACTTCCCTTTTACTTTACTCTTCTTTATGTGTGGATTATTTTATATCTAATCTCCTCAGAAACATCTCTTGATAAATAAATGACTCAATGAAGGGTAGACTGTGATGTTGGCACAGTACTGTAGGTCTCAATCAAGTCCAAGAAAAATAAGATCATGAAATATAAACAGATTGAAGATGACTGTGAGGAAAGTAGAACACAATGAAACATCACTACTGAGTCTTTATTTCGATTCAGGAACTGATACACATAGAATAGTTTTGCTTTCTGTGTCAGAAAATGCCTGATATTACTGACAGTCTGTAGTCACATTTACTTCCACATGCTGCTTCCATGGCACAATCTCTTACAGTGCCTGTGTGGCACCTGCTGGGACGTTGTTCTCCCAGCTCGGCCTGTGACAAGTTCCAGTGTTGCCCTTGCAGTGGAGAAAAGGATTCTGATTCCCGCTTTTGAAAAGGTGAAGGGAATACAGTCCTGCTTCCTCTGATTCTGTGGCAGGTCTGAAATCAGTATGTGTGATAGCTGCTAGTAATGGGCTCTGTGATGGGAGTAGCGGAGAGGACGTAATGTCAGAAAACACTGCAGCCTGCTGATGATGGGAGATGAAAAGGTTTTGGATGAAGGGAGCGCACTTCTCCCCATCTCTTTCTCTTATTGAAGGAAGGATGCCTCTCTCTTTACTGTCTCCCACCAAAGAACAAAAAAAACTACATCCAGCCAGAGGGAAGAAATCAATGTGGTCTTTGTATGTAAACAATCAAGACTGGGACTGGAGGTGCTGCTCTGACCGCTGCAGGGGAGCCCTCATTAGTTTTAAAATCGCCTCCCTGGATCGCTAAGCAGTGGGCCTGAGGCTCCGATTATTATTTCATTTGTGAAATTGAGGATGGAATTGTGCACTGTGTGTTGCTTGTTTGTGAGCAATAGAGACTTTGAGCTAATCTGAGCAACTCTGTCTTGTTGCAGGCATCACAAGCAGACAGGTTAACAGCATAGCGAGACAGGGAGATAGTCAGTCTGATTGATTTGGTTGCGTGATTGAAGTGGAGCAGCTCAAAGCGTGTGATTTCTCTCCTCTTTCATGTATTTAGAAGCTCCTGCCTCTTTGCATGAATATGCTCCACTTCCATGCCAACACACAGCGAACAGATGCGTGATCTAAGGCTGCATTCACATCACACGCCTTATTGCTCAATTCCAATTTTTTTGCTCATAACTGATTGTTCACATTTGTGTTTGTAAGAGACCCCTATCCTTCATTAGTGCAAACACACCTCTGCCCTGAAAGGAACTGCACATTTCATCGGCAAGTTAGCCTCTGCTGGCACTTCCAACACTGGTAATGATGTCAGAGGCATGAAGTAAAAAAATGCACAGTTTTGATATGTATCCAATCCAAGGCCACGAGTGAAAGCTGCTCAAATCTGATGATGTGAACAGACCCGCTTTTTGTGCTGAGACAGCTCTGTAAAATCTGATCTTTGGCTGTTCACATTACCAGGTTGAAGTGGAGCACATTTGCTAAGATGCAATCAAAGTCATTCAGAGTGGTTTGATGTGAAATGCTCCGTTCCAGAGAAACTTACTGAGTCAGAACTGTTCACAGTGGAGGTTATAGGAACCAGACGTCTGAAAAGCTTAATGCCTCATTACATGCGATGGTTATGAATACATTGCCTAATGCTTGAGATACTTTTTATGATGCTTTTATGATAACGTTTCAACCTAATATGTATT